ATAGTGCCAAAATATGGAGAGTCAAAGCTACTCAAACTTAGATTTAATTAATTTATTTTGTATTTATGGAGAGTGTAACAAAATTATGATATCGTTCATTAAACAAAAATAAGTTTTTCTCACTTGTTAGCTTTAAATAATGATTGCATGGTAGAACCTATCAATAATAATTAAGTTTGCATAACTRTGATTCTCCATATTTTGGCACTATTTGGCAAATAATAAGTCACTGTAGACGTTTACTGAGAAACAATTTTGACATTTTTGATTTCCATAGCAAACTATGTGAAAACCGGTATGGCTAGTAATAAATTTTCTGTAGTATTAAAAAAAAGTCCATAACTTGAAAATTATTAAATTTAGGTATTATAGGGAATGTTAATACAGATCAATGCACAATTAAATTCTCTTCAATTTAGTAAAATAAAAATTGGGGTATTTCATTTGAAAAAATTGAGTTATGAATATTTGAATTATTACAAAAGTAACCTTAAAATTATGGGATATGTTATTTTTTTCAAAATTTGAAAACACCAGAAAAAGGATCTAAGCTTTCTCTTTCAAACGCCAAAAAAACAAATTTAAAATCTTAAAAAATGACAGAGTTACCGGTTTTTAAAGTGGAAGGTGCAAATCCAAAAATTTTTGAAAAATTCCAAATATTTCAAAAACGGTTAAATTTAGGTGTAGGGAAAGCTGATGAAAATTCCCTTAAAATAACACGATTAATCCAAAAACGCAGTAAAAAATATACCTTTCCATTTAAAATAAGAAAGTTGAGACCGACTTCCGATATAACCGGAAGTGCTGTCATCTTGAAAATATTTTCATTTAGGAGGACTTAATGGTCTATGGCTGTGTACCAATTTTCAAATAAATACAATTATTCCAACTCCCAATACTTCTAAAGTGGGGTTTAGACGGAACACCTGTATATGATGTATAAACAAGAATTCTAATTCTGAATGGCATCAATGGCCATATACTGTTAATTTTAAAGGAGGAATTGTTGTAGAGCAACGTAAGCTGATTTTTTTTTATAATGCAATTTGACCTGTTAATAAATGACAATTTTATTATTCTTGTTAAATATTCAAAAAAAGTATGCTTAACCTTCTTTATTTTTGTTTGGTCACAAATTCGTGATTGCAATGATTTAATAATAAATGTTAATAGTGAAAAAGTCACTGTCTATGACACTGCACTGTCAAGACTACCAAATAAGACGTTTCTTTTGAAAATTTTCTAATCTTTTTGGGTACAACCATTTCTCACACTATGTAAATCTTTGAAAAATTTGACCAATTTGTTTTTGACAATTTGCGCTTTTTTGCATTCAAGTGTATTTCATCGAAACTAATGCAATTTGAGCTATTTTGAAGCAATTTGAATACAGCATACGTCAATTGTCAAAAATTTTAACTGAAAAATATAATAATAATTTCAATTTTAAAAACGCTCAATAGAAAAAATAGTATAAGAAAGACGAGTTACGAGCTTTTATTGTGATAACACGAGCAACGCAGTGACGAGTGTTACAATGAACAAGTATCACAATGAGATTGTTTTTTAATATACTATTAAATATGTACACTATTCAGAGCAAATAACAATTACAAGTCGACGAGGCTTCATGATGGAAAAATGATTCATTACTTCTTCAACATCCACTAGAACCAATTCATTTAATCTTTCTTGGCCTATCGTGTTTCTTAATAGTACATTAACCAACTTTGATAAGACCAGACGTGAAGCACGAATTCAAGTTTAAAAAGCGAGTGGCACAACTACGAGTTAATTTAAAGAAGAAGTGTTTCAAGGTCTTATGAAATAAGTTTTATATGCATTTTTTTGTAATTTGCATTCTTAATGCCGTTTTTAAACATCTTTTTTCATTTTAATCGATTTAGTGTTTGTTGTGTTAAAAGGCAAAATTTGATCTAGATAGGCGTCTTTTGTTTTATTGAAATTGAATTTATTGAACACGAATATGGAAAATAATAAAGATAATCATGCCTATACGCCCCCTGAAATACGTGAAATCAAGATCCTGTTATCAAATTTTTCCACTGAACATTTCCTGTTCCTGATACATTTTGTAATAAATTTTTCCTATGACCATGAAACTAGATCATAACGCACAATTACATACGCGCGAAAATTGGCAATATCGTACGAGGTCGAAAACATGTGCGATTTGTTTTCGCATTAAAAATCTAACGTACAATTCACACTCGAATGTTTTGTATTTTTTCATTTAACGTATTTTTTTGTATCCATTATAAAAAACAAATCGTTATTCAACGTATTTTTGTATACATTATAAAAAATAAATCGTTATGAAAAAAAATATGTTCGTAAGAAAAAAATTATTTATGGTCGTAGGAAAAATAGTGTACAAAACTTGCAGGAAAGTGTCGAACGCACTCGTGGTATTTATCACTTTCCGTGCTCATTATGTAATATACTATTTCCTACGACCATATATGAAACTAGATCATAACGCACAATTACATATGCGCGAAAATTGGCAATATCGTTCGAGGTCAAAAACCTGTGCGATTTGTTTTCGCGCTGTGTGTTAGAAATGTAACGCACAATGCATAATGTTTTGTATTTTTTCATTCAACGTATTTTTTTGTATCCATTATAAAAAATAAATCGTTATTTAACGTATTTTTTACTTTTTCGTTTCTGACAAAGACGACGGCTTGCTCCAGTTGTAAAAATGCAAATTGTGTTGGGTAGTTTTAGGAATAATTTATCTTAATGTTTGTAACCAGTTCTCTACTACTTTCCATTTAGTTGGTACTCTACTTTTTGAGCGCCCTGTGTAACAGAATACAATGATTTCCAATTAAAAAAATTACAAATGATTATGCATTTATGCACTAAGTATGTACTAATGAGTTTTTTTTTTATAAAGGTCAGACTTGAAATAAAACTGATAAATTATCAATAACACCAAATATTTTGAAAAGGATTTCAACACCACAATATTACATAACTAGACAAAATGAAAAATCACTTTTTATGCTTTCTCCAGCTTTGAGGCACATGCCATAAGAGTGGTGTATGGTTTACGCATTTTTTCTTCACTATTGGAGACTTCGAAACTTGTCAGTTTACTTTCAAGATTGTAAAAGAAAGCTGAAAATAAATGTTTTTCTCATCTTGTCGAAGATTAGACCATGTTCAGAAACAAAATGTACAAATGTTCCTTTAATTCTTTTGCAAAACTTTGATCAATCGGTCCGAGAAAACGATTTGATGGATCGATTAAAAATTAGCAGGGCTGTGAGGGATTCTTTGAGCTGTAAAAACACCTAAAACATTAGTCTCCCCATCAATATTAGTGAATATGCGGTAGATTTACTAAAACAACGCAAAAACTTACTTTTTTCTCTTTTTTTATAAATCAATGTTAAAAAAATAATTTTCAAAAAATTATAAGAGTATTTATTCCAGTTTTTGACACTTCCCTTATATTCTCTGTGTGGTCATGGTTGCTGAGATATCGATGATCAAAAACAAAAGGATCCTTTTTCATTTAAAGTCAAATATCTCATCGACAAATTGATGTAAAAAGAATATGAAGAAAGCATAGTAAAGCTAAACAAACATGCTATCCGGCCTATGCATTGACTTAACTAAAAAAAAATCTTCACGTCCGTGGACTAAAAACAAAAATATAAAAATTTAGATTTTTTTTTCCCGCGCAATTACTTAGAATTGCGTGATAAACGTAGCACAAAAAAATATTTGCCAAAAAAACTCAAAACTTGAAACTTAAAGCTTCAAAATATTTTTTTTTAAATCTAGATACGAACATTTTTCCTTGTGTTACAGCATTTCAAAAATCACCTAAAAGTTTGGGAAAATATTTTGTTCCTTTAATTTTTTGGAGTAGTGTAGATAAACATGAAAGTTCCATCACAGATTAATTAATCTATTAAAACTGGTTTTAAATTAATTGACAAATTTGGCACCGTCAGACTATTATTTGTTCCTAAAACTCAAAAAAATTTAAAAGGTGCAAAATTTTGATATGTGCCGTTGTGAATTGGTTTGTAGGCCAAGACAACAAATCTTTTTTAAAGAGTTTACAATTTCATTTTATAAACGTTCTACTAAAGGTGTAAGTAAGTCTAAGAGCAGAGTAAGTTGAATGTATAATATTTTGTTTTAAAATATTACAGCGTTTTATATGGTAGGCTAAGTACGAGTATGTATCATCATTGTCCGCTGCTCCTATGTATTATGACAGTATTTTTAATTCGACTGGATTTATAAGAGAGGTGGAGCATGTAAACAAGTTTGATAGTTGATTATTTAATTATAAGATAAGTATTTCTAACAAAACGGTATTACTTCTTATTCGATCACCATCAAGTCGTCTAAACCCATCTGCAAATTATTAAAACGTACTATATTTTCTATTTTCATAAACACTCACCGATTTGCTTTCACGGATGGCACATTCAGCTAAATTTGAAGCATAAATGCAAGAATCATTATTATTTTCAGCTGCAAAATATTAAATACAATTTCATTTATTGAAACGAAATTAAATTTCACCTGTATCAAAACAAGTATTAAATATTTTAACAACTTTGTCATAAATATCCTGACTGTGTTGCTTAATGGGTTCTAATGAAGAAATAGCATCCACTTTATTCAAAGATCCGTCATCATTTTGCTTAAATATTTCAATTAAATTAAACTTAAAAAATCAAGACTTACCCACAATGTGAAAATGTTTGTGAAAACAAAAAATCATGCATTTCCCTTCATGTGAATCTGGTATTTTATGATCTAACAGTGTTTTAATATCATCTACAAATCAGTGGCTGTTAAGTACAAGATATTTTTTATCGCAAGATCATTATCATTACCTTTAGTAGCTTGAGTTTCAGCAACGCATTCTTCACTAACTTTTCTAATTTTTTGCAAAAACTGAATCAAAAACTCCTTATCTAACTACAAATTTCTAATAATTAATTGTGTTCTCGATTACTAACAAAAACTTACTTCACCAGTGCAGGCAACAAGCACACAAACTAAAAGAAAAAATACCTTCATTTTGATACAAGTGATGATGTTGGGAGAAATATATATTTTCTTATTGAAGGTCAAGACTAATGAAATAAAAAATGATAATTTAGTGATGAAATTCTCCTAATGACAGTTGTTGTTTCCTGAATTATATTCGCGATTGTGTCTGTCATATATTTAATTTAATTGTACATAATTAAAAGAGAAAAACCAAATCATATATAAACAAGTAAAAGAATCATAAAGGAATACCTACTTAACATTGTTTTACAATATCTTCCAAATTTAAATTATCTAAAGTTTAAAAAAATAGCAAAAAATTCTAGTTTGAATTATGTAAAAAATATTGATTATTATAAGTACAGTATGTCCCCGGATTGAGTTTACAAGAAGAAAAAAATTTTTTTTTTGATTTTCCACCAAAACTTCAAAGGAAAAACATGTTTTTGCTTCACCTGAAATGAGCAAATCTTTAATTAAAACTTCATTATTCTGATTCAGTGAAAACAAAAGTTCATTTTTCTCTTGATTTTAGACTTGGAATAATTTCACATCACATTGGCGGTTTTATTTATTTGACAACTATATGTCACTTTGACAATTAATTCATTAATTGAATAATATGTTATTTCTTGTTAAAAATGACTTTGTTTTTTATCTTTTTTCCTCTTGTAAACTCAATCCGGGGACATACTGTATAAAATACTTAGAAAACATAAGACAAATATTACAATTTTATTTTATATATACAGGGCTGTTCGGTCCAAGTCGTCCCGGCTGATAACATCTAAACTTACTTCTTTTTTTCAAAAAGTAAATATTTAGGTAATAATATTCATTCTTAGCTTTCTTTATAAATGTATCAATTTTTTTTAGGACATTCGGTGTTGCCGGAAATGCTACCAAATTTAGTTTTTTAAATGAAACACCTATGTTTTTTCCTCCAAACAATAATAATTGACATGAAAAATACTGTAAACCACTATTTATTACATTTTGCGTAACACAATGTAATCAAAAAACATCTTAAATCTTAGAATTATATAAAGAAATTGGTCGCGTAGCCCGATTTTTAAATTTAAAGGAAAGATGTGAATAAAAAAATACTTGGATACAGTTAAATTGTTGGTTTGACTAATCTAATTTGTCAGTTGATGAGCGAGTTCTCTTATGGAAACTCTTGGAGTTTCTTCGACTGATAACAGAACATTCAGATTTCTATTTTCTTGTTCTTCACAAAGAACCACAGGTTTTTTAGTTTTAAGAAGCGAACCTATTCGTCTCAGTTGTTTTTCAATTCGACTAAATTTCCAACGATTTGGGTGAACTCTATTTGGGTATTTTTCTCTAAACTGTCTTTCAGCTTCCGCTCTATTTTTATTGCACTTAAAAAACACTTCAAGCTGATCTACCAATTCGTCGTAATTAATATCATCCATTATTAAAGATCTCAATAAGATTTATTGACAAATTAGGCTTTGTCAAACTAACAATTAAACGGTATCCAAGCATATTGCTTTTTGCATGAATACCTTGACAGGTAAAATCCGCCTGTTGCAAAATTTGCTAATAAAATTCTAAAATTTAAATTGTTTTCTGAGTGCATTATGTAAAGTAAAATGTAATATATAGTGGTTTACCGTATTTTTCATGCCAATTATTATTGTTTCGAACAAAAAAATATAGGTGCTCCATTTGAAAAACTAAATTTGGTAGCATTTCCGGCTACACCGGATGTGCCAAAAAAATTTCATGCATTTACTAAGAAAGCTAGGAATGAATAGTGTTATTTAAAAATTTTGTTTTTGAAAAAAAAGTAAATTTAGGTGTTATCAGCCGGGGCGACTTGGACCGAACACCCTGTACATATTAAGTGTAACATGTCTTATTTTCATATTTCGATCAGTTTGATATGATTTTCTTTCCCTGTTAGTATATATTTGTTGCTTTTTCTCGTTACATAATACATAACTGATCAACAGAACTACAGAACATGTTAAGTGAAATTTTTTTATATAAAATAAATATTTACAATTTTTAAATCATTTCTTTTTACACATTTGCTTAAAAACCAACTGGTATGTTTAAACACATAACACCATAAATAAAGAGGATCACTTTTTACCCTTTTTGCGACTAGTGGTAATGAGTCAATTAGGAATTGTAAATCAAGAAATTTCTCGTTCGGTTTCAGATTAAAATCGCGCGACGCTGTAGCACGCTTATTTATTAAATTTTTTAAAACGGTTTTCACTACGAATAAAGAAATTTATAATAACATAAAAATTTGACTTTTTAAATTTATTGATTTCGTTAATTTTAATTTTTAGTAACTATTTATTGTTATTTATAATAACTTTAAAAAAAATTAAAAAGTTATATTGTAGTTAGCAATTTAAAAATTGCCTGTGCCAAATTTCATTATGATAAGAGTGCTACAGTGTCGTTCGTTTACATTGGCATTCCCATAAGAAAAATTCGTCCATACTCCTTAAAACAATAATGGTTCGTTCACACTCAAACTTTCATAGATAGCTTTGACGCCAAATTTAAAAAAACACCCGTTATGTACAGGGTGCTGCATTTTAGATGTCCGAATAGGGAATCCCTGAAACTAAGAGGTTTAGCCAAAAACGAGTGATACATTCTGGGGCTCATTTTTTGAGAAAATAATATTGGTTGAAACCGCATTCCGCTATCGTCTTTTGTTTTCGACTTACAGATAAAAGTTGACATTTTAGCCAAATCTAAAAAAAATCATATCTTCGTTATTATAGAAGATACCGATTTGAAATAAAGACATTATACAGGCACTGTATATTGGCTGGGAATCTGGGCTGGAAATTTTCCACGCAAACTGAAAGTGAAAATGACCATGCAGTCATTTAAATACAATGCTATTATTATGCTAAATATTTATTTTAAGGTTCATTTAAATAAAGAAAAATTTTAAACTTTTGTCCTGAGGTAAAAAATGGGTAACTTTCAAACGTTGTTCTTTATTTAAAAATGTGATTAAAACGCGTTGGTAACTACTGCAATATTTATTTCTTGATTGACGTTTGAAGTACAGTATTGCATTTAGAATTCTTATACAGGTAACACAAACTAACAGGGATAAAGAGATATAAAAATAGGTTTTACCTTGTTATGTCGAGAATGTGAAATTGGAAGAAAAAAAATTAACTACAAATATTATAATACTAACAAAAACTATCACATGAGCCAACCACAGTATTAACGTCTTACAATAATATTGCAGTCTCATAGTAATTTATTGAAAGCACAAATAGATCGACAAATATATTAGATATAATTTTGTGTATGGCCCTATCATAACCCAAACTCAAGAAATGATTTATTCTACATTAAAATATCAGTACATTTAGGGAAAGACACATCGAATTACTGCTTGATATCGAGGACATTGCTGTCGCTGTGATCTCTCGCCGGCAAAATTTGTAGCAAACTTGCAGCTTTTCTGTAAATAAAAATTAGGTACAAAAAAAACTCTACAAGCCAAAAACTCACAACCTTGTACACCTTACTGGTAAATAAATGGCGTTATACCACAAAACTGCGGCTAAAACCAGAGACCACGTCCTCAAAGGCCCCAAAATAAAGGCCAAAGTCCCGTAAGCCAACCAAAACAAGTACGCCATCTGTACTTGAATACCGAAAACCAACAAAAAGGGTAAATGTAATCCAATGTGGCCACAAATTGTTTTCTTTTTTTGCGCGTTTATTACTTTATATTGGATGCTATGATCCACTCCGTGGGCCAGAATAAACATCAAAGGTATTTGGAATGTAACTAACTGGAAAAAAAATCAGGTTTAGGGAATTCTCCAAAACCAGTTAGTTACCTGAATAAATCCATAAGCGTAAGTGAAAGAACCGGGTAAGTAAGACCCATTCACAAAAATGCCCCATGCAAAAATCACACCCACATGGTCCTCCACCAAGTACCCCACCGACCATGGGCCGAAAGACAAATAAAGAGGGTATAAGAGTATAGGCCAAAATATCCGATCAACGGTTGAGAGCACCCAGAATTTGCGCAACCACATCCGGCAAAAAGAGCCTCTGAGGCGCGGAGGAGTTAATTTGTTTTCTTAAATTAGCAATTAGTAAAAAGCAAAAACAAAAAATTATAATTACCTTCCACCATTTTATGGAGAATTCGGAACACGATTAAAGGTAATATACACGTAATTAACATCACAACGAACATCATACGAAACTAAAAATTACTTTGAAAAACTTTAAAGATATCATTTGGGGTTACGTACGACGGTACTAGCATCCGTCATTAATGCTATTCGAGATAAAAGACTAAACGATAAACGAGTGTCGTCCAATGCAAAGGGTTGTGAGTAAAACTTTTCCCTTCCATGGGAGTCTTTGACTAATAATTCCATAGTGTGGAGCCCTGAATTGTACTTATTGGGGTTCCACTTTAATACGTATAAGGGACCCTCCACGTGGTACAGGTCCATCCATTTACCACCATTTATACGTATTTTCACAGACGTTATCTCTCCTAACGAAAATGCTAACACTCTGAAAGTAATTATTATTAATTTTAGAGGAATTTCATACAAAAACAATCATTTTAAATCTTGAAATCTCCGATTTTTGTACAACTGAGATGTTAAGAAAAATTGTTTAAGGCTATTTCCAAAACGTCCGTCGTAAAATTTTAAGAAAACCTCTAGCAAACATTAATATATTTAGATGAATTTTATGTGATTTAAAAAAATGTACGTACCTAAGTGAATTTTTTTGCTTTACACAACTTATTTCCCATTTATTTGTAAATAAAAAATATTCTACCACGCACAAAAAAAAACGCCTTTTTGCTATTATTTAAAAAAACATTAATTTGTTTGTGAGATTACGTCAAATACAACATAATGTGCGATTTTTAGGTTTGTTTCGACAAAACATCGTCAATTTCTGTAATTTTTGGTCAATTATAGCAAAATGTAGTAAAAAACGTGCTTAAACGTTCAGAAAAAGCAAATATAACGCCCTCTTTGACCCATTAGGTGATTTTCGGTTTGTTTGAGCAAAATGTCGCAAAATAGATAGAATTCCGACTAAAAAGCAAACAAAAAAGATAAAAATATGTCATTTGCAACCTAATTTTATGATTTTTTCGGACAGTTTTAACAAAAGTTCGCAGAAAAAAACGAGTTTTTATTAAACACCCAAAAGGTTAAACGGCAACAACATTTTTGACCTAATTAAGTCATTTTTTAACTTATTTGGTAATTTTTCAGTCTATCACGTTCCTAAAATATAGTTTTTGCGGACGAATCGTTGCTATTTCTGGACGAGGCGAAGCCGAGTTTTAGGTACGTGTTACAAACAATTTTGTTTGTTAAAGCTTACAAAAAACAAATTCACATCTCTTATTAATTAAAAAAAAATTGGCTATCATAGTAACTAAATTGACTTTTTCGTCCGGAATAGTATATTAAAGTACAAGTTGCAGAAGAACCAATAAGTGCTTTATACTATTTTTTCTATTTTGCCGCTTTATATCATTTTATAAATTAAAAAACGAAAATTTATGTTTATGTGGAATAATTTTAGGCGGCTGTAAAAAATAAAAATAATTCTGATTTTCACATTTGAAAATGAATGAATTGTGAAGAAAGTCCGTCACTAAAATTAACGCCAACGATTTATTCCAGCACTCAAATGACGTCATTTGGGTGGTGGAATAGACTTATTCTAACACCGAAATAGAAAAAAACTGTTTTTGGGTACTGATCACCTAAAATAACCATTTTACGTACTATTTATTGTTTTTGGGGACTGAGTATCTAAAATAACTATTTTACGTACTATTTTATTGAGTCCGAAAAAGACTCATTTTAGGTACTCAAATGAGTCCCTAAAACAGCTATTTTCGAGAGCGTATACAAAAATAGCTATTTATGTATCAAGTACGCAAAGTAGGGTTTTAGGGGACGAATCGTAATTAATGACGAGGCGACGTAGGAGCCGAGTCTTTAATGAGAGGAGTTACCTAAAACCTTTTGCGTAGTGGTGCATACAAGATTTTTTTGTTAAAGCTCCCTAAACACAAATTCACACCTCTTACAAATTAAAAAAAAATTCGTTACCGTAGTAACCAATTTTATTTTTTAGTCAGCAAAAACTGTTTTTGGGGACTGAGTACTTAAAATAACCGTTTTACGTACTATTTTATTGATTCCGGAAAAGACTCATTTTAAAGACTCAAGACTGTTTTCAGGAGCGTATACAAAAAGGGCATTAAAAAAAATGTTTCTTTAAAATTTTCGAAGGCACACTTGATTTTCCAAAACTAAAATTATGTTAGAAATTAGTCTTTAACCAAGCAGGGCTGAACCCCAAAAAATTAAAATTTAAATCGAGAATTTTTTATCTTTTACAAGAGGCGTTTCACCCATCCGGGGACACAGTATAATTATTATTCATCAAAAATCAATTAAAAAAAAAAACTAAAAACATGACAATAAATGAATATGCGAAGGTAAATGACGTCATATTTTCTTTTCTAGAGAAATACTCCAGCTTTAATTATTATTTATCAAGACAAATAAAAATTTAAAACATGAAAATAAATGGAAATGCGAGGGCAAATGACGTCGTAGCTCTTTTCCCTAGTGAATTAAAGTAAAAACATTGGCTGTTGGTATCACCTGACATGCGTAGACTTTCTAATATTTTCGAGATTCTCTTTCGCCGAGTTAATGAATTGGGCATGTTTGGGGTTAYTTATGAGGCCCACGGGCCACTCGCCATGAGGAACGTCCACAAAAGACAATGTTCCGTGATCTATCGCCAATAAACGATACCTACAAACTCCGAACTTCAAAAAATACCCCAACTTGGACCCTACTTAGTACACTCTGTTATCTTTCCAATCTCCAAGCTCTAATTCTAAAAAGCCCGACTGTTGCAAAGTGTACATTTTAGGCACCAAGCCCCCAAGTCTGTGTAAATGTCCACAAACATATACCAAACCTTTAGGATCTTTCCTGATTAAATTTCTAGCACCCTCACTCCCTGTACTCAAAATGCAAGAAGTTGGAAAGTGACCAAACCAAACAGTGTAATTGCTGCCGGTTGTTTTAGTTTTTTCGATAAGTTTGTTTATGTGGTCTATTTCGGTTTGGTCTAGCTTTCCTATGAAATTAAAAGGACGTCTAGGGCCTGGGTCTAAGCAAGCATCAATCCCAATAAAAGAGTATAAATCCGAACCCTGTGATACTTGGTAAATATACGAACGAGGGTGGTGTCGCCCTTGGATTGAGTAGTTTAAATAAAAATTTTGTTTAGAATCTGCGCCGGCTACGTTAAAATTATCTGAAATTTGATAAGTAAGGTTAAGTTTCAAAAACAAGAAATTACTACCGTGGTTTCCTCTAATATCAAGCCACACAGTTTTTTCCCTAACGTGACATTCATTGAGTATATTTCTGTAGTATTGCCATTCCTTTTCCAACTGTTGGGACCCAATATGATCCGCTGTTTTAGCATCTGTTAAATCACCAGAAGCTAACACCACAGAAGGCCTAATTACGTCAACAGTGCGAAAACAGAAATCTTTTAAATCTGTTATGCGAAAGGGGTCTTGAAAAACACTAATGTGTATGTCAGAAATCTAAAAAAATAAGTAAAAATAAAATCAACACTTACTACATACCCCCAATACTTGTAAAAACCAAATTAAGTGATCAGTGCTATCCGTAACTTTCAGATAATCATCTTTCATTGATAAGTTAACTTTAGTCCCATCTGTGCTTAATAAATTTACAACATTTGCGAGAAAAATTGAGATAAGTAGCATTGAGACTAAAATAATGATTGTGCCTTTAGAAATCCTCATGATTTTTGATTGTCGTAGCAAAACTGCACTGTCTGTTCTTGATTATTCATCGCTTAGTTGTGTGACAAAACACAGAGTATTCAAGAATTTATTACACAATGAATTTTAAAATTTTATCATCACAACCACTTTACAAATGTCAAATGTCATTTGTCAAAATCTACTTTTTCTGTCATTTCACGCAGCCAAGTTCGGATGGTGACCACCAGGTGTCGTACAAGCCTTTGCTTGAAACAGTGAATTATTCAAAATTTCAACTTTTCCCAGATGAAATGCTACAAAATATTTATGAAAAGACATAAACTATTACCAAGACTGGTTTCTGGTTTGAGAACTTTGGTTTGGTGTGATAATGCTTAATTTTTTTCCAGATTTGAAAGACAAACCGGTAAGTCTTATTTATTGTATTTTCAAATAACATAATTATATTTGGGTTCTTCATTAAATTGCATTTTTGAGAATATTTTAGCAAATGAGCAATTTTATATCAGAATCCGGTGCGATGGTTGGAAAATTTACCACGGTCGGAGGCTATGGTTGTCATGTCAAAGCCAACGCAGAATTTTTGCAAGTTATTAAAATTAGAAATTTCTCGGGTGTGATTGCTTAAATCAAGGCGTGCAAGCTATAAATAAAGAAATAAAAAATTCTTTTCAGCTGAGTCATTACGAATATGTATAAATATAGCAATAAAATATGCAAAAAAATGCGAATCTTTTGCTAAAAATTGCGCAATGTCTTGTTTCCGTTGTGATGTTTAGAATGGTGCGTAGCCATGTCTCTGAAATGTCTGGTTGCAGATTAGGAACTTAGAGAAATGCGCATTATTTATCGTTGCTAAATGTAATATAAACAAGAGGTTTGGCCTTCTCTAAGAAAAAAAAAACAGTCATCGCAAAAAATGATATCTGCATTCCAGGAAATTAAGTCCATTATCATAATATCAAAATACAATGTAGATTTTTCAAATAAACTCTGCGAATAGGCAATTCGTTTTATCTACGAGGGATATTAATACAATCTTTTAACAAATAATTAAAATAAATAACTTGACGTCAATTATGGGTTTAATTATATGGATATTTCATTTCTGATTTATTTATTGACGAACAATTATAAAACTATTGAAACTTTAACTCCCATAACTAGTCAGGTGGCCAGGTGGAAATACTTGAACATTATTTATTTATTTTTCAATTTATTCTGTTTTATTTGTTTGTATTTTATCGCGGCTCATTAAAAACAAAACAAATCGATTACTATGCAAGTAAGTACATTCATTTTTAGTGCTTTTTCATTTTTCATTACTTCTCAAACAAGTGTAACCAACCAATCTTTCTATCGCATTATTTTTTTCATTTTAAACAATAAATAATAGTTGTAACAAAATGTACAACACACACTCCGGAAAAAGATGTAACAAATGTCTAGGAAACTTGAATATAATCTTTACGAAAGTTTTTACATTCATAAATATAGTCAACGGTGTTCAATTACAGTTCTGATGAAAGTGGCCTTCTATTTTAAAATTAAGTTGGCAATGTTGAATAATGTTGTTTAACTTTTTTTAACTTTAATTAAATTTAGTAAAGTAACATAAAATTTAGGGATTTATTTTTATTATTGGTTACATAACAATCTATTGACCCCGCGCAAGAATATTGTTTAATATTATTATTATTAATATTGTCTTTACTGTGCATTTATTATTTTTACTGAAAAATACTTGACGTTTAAATACTTGTTAATATACGGTGTATTTAATTTGTTCTCAATCTACTGTATGATTGCAAGAGAAAAAAAATTGATTTTATGCCAAAACTGTAAAGAAAAAACATTTTTTGCTTCACCTGAAACGAGCAAATTTGAAATTAAAACTTTATTATTCTCACTCATTGGAAAGAAAAGTTCATTTTCGGCTTGATTTTGGTCTTGTAATAATAATTTTTCTCTGCGTTTTAAATTCTCACATTGGCGGTTTTATTTTTTTGACAACGATGTCACCTTGACAAATGAGTTTACGCAGTAAATAACAAAAATGTTTGTGAAAAACATAATTTTTAAAAATGGCAACTCAAAGAAACAGCTTTAAGAAAAAAAAAGTAATTTTTAATTAATTTAATTAATTAAATGACTTAATACAATTAATTTTATTATTATATTAAAATTAATTGTATTAAAATTTTATTAAAATTAATTTTAATTAATTTAATTAATTAATTATTGTACAATGGCGAACATTAAATTTTAGTAGGCAATGTCATTCCCCAATATACCCTCTTGTCAAAATTACAGAGGGAAATTACTTTTTTTGACAAAAAGATGAAGTTTTAAAATGACATTACCTACCAAAATTTTATGCTCGCCATTGTACATTAACATTAAGGTACCGTGCGATCAAAAAAAAAATAAATTAGAGTAGGCGACGATTTATATTCTACAGTTGGCAACACGTTGGCTGGGAATCTGGACTGGAAATTTTCCACACAAACTGAAAGTAAAAATGACCATTTACCGTTTTCGTCTTGTACAGCAATAAAAATTTTCAGCTCTAAAGAGAACATTATTTTACTCAAAATGAATATAACGCAAACTTGTCAAAATTTCCGCTGACATTTGATGTCAAAAATCAGGATTCCATCTTAAGGACTTTAAGCACCGCCTACTCTAATTTATTTATTTTTTTTTGATCGCACGGTACTAGATGCTGTCATAGACAGCAAGTTTTAATTACAGATTTGCTAGTTTCAGATGAAGCAAAAAATCTTTTTCTTTTGCAATTTTGGCGTAAAATCAAAGATAAAAATTTTGTTCCTCTTGTAAACTCAATCCGGGGACATACTGTATACTTAATATTTGTGTCATAGCTATCGCCACTTTGGCAAGGTCACAACTGCGTTTTTTGAGGTGAAATAGGTCAAAAACATTTAATTTCTGTGTAAAAGAGAAATCAATGTTATAACTGAAACCTACTGATAAAATTTTGAACTTGAGGGTTGCATCATTGCATACAGAAAAAACATTATTTATTCCCAACACTTGGAGGATTGAATTTTATTACAATTTTTTGCTATTAATTTTCAATTTCAACTAGATTTTCTCAAGTGTTAAGTCTAGTTTTTTAGATTCAAGGTGCATCATTAATTTTAGAGATGAAGAAAGCGTCAAAAACACTATATAAACAAAATTTGAATATTTTGAGAGTTTTTTTTTATTAAAAAAACACATAAGTAACTTCTTCAACAAAAATTAAAGACTCTGATTTTTTAATAAACGGACGCTGCTTCATGGATGTTTTGTGGTTTTAACATATTTCTACTATTTTACCATGCTATCCTATCATCTTTATTTTATTTACAATTCAAGATCTTAAATTAATAAAAATTGGCGAGCTTTTAAAATTTGAGAATCCTGAAAGTTATCAAAAACGAATCTTCGTGTTTCTGGCAATAGCAATTGCACTTTCTGAAATTGTCATTAAACTAATTAATTTAATTAAAATTCTGTTTTGTTTAAGATGTTTTCGTGATATTTCCTTGTTATTCCTATTGTCTCCATGCTTGTTATGACAATGATAACAGCCTAGCCCGTTAAAATTTAACGAACGTTTTAACGGACGTTTTTTCGCATGCTGCTATAGAAAAGGCGCATTCGAAAGACCACTTGATTCAAGTCTGACATTACTTGACATTATGCTTTTGAATAATTTTGCCAAAATCTTTTAGTATCAAGAAGACACACAAATGACAGTCTCGATTTTACTGTTATTTGCCACATGTAGGCCTTATGACGTTTTAATAACTATAAAAAAAGATTGATATGGTGTTCTTTTAAAAAATAACGGGTGGCTGTTTTAACCAACATATCGATTAGCACAGTGCACTGATAAAGCACATTTAACAGTATTGCATTTTGAAAAAGATTTATCACAAGATATAAGTACAGGGTGATTCAAAAATGTCGGACCAATTCTCGAATTCTGATAGAAGACATTCAGCTAAGCATAAAATGAATTCAGATTTTTGTTAAAAACTTTTTTTGAAAAAAAAAGCAGAACTGTCAATTTTCATATTATCATGTGTATACAAGATTACATAATCGTAACGGGCAAAAACTTAATCCAAAATCTAGTCTTTGAAGACCTATATCTCGTGAAAAAAGACTCAAACAATTGTTTTATTATGAGAACTTTTAACTCGACACTTTTGAATCACCCTGTATAAAGTTTTTGAAATTTTGGCAAAAAGCTACTTTATTTTCGGCATCTTTTTTGTTTTTTAGGCCAGTTAGTTAGTTTCTCTTGTTTTAGTGTTCAGTCACTTTAAATTCTTGCATTCAGAAATTCTTAAAATTTGTGACATTTCTCAAAGTGTTTCGATACGTGTATAAACTCCAAATTAGGTAAATTGTTGTTTTAAAATGTAAACGTCTGAGTGCTTGGTGGTCGCTCATTTAATTTTTTGATTGTCGATTTCCATCGCGGTCCGAAGAAGCCGATAGATAAATAAGAAGTCAAAGCTGTCGACTGTCTTAGCAACGATTTCCACCTTGATAATATCTCTCCCATGTGTGTTTTTTTTTGTGATTCGGATGGCGAGTGGTCATCTACATAATATTATGAGTAGATAAGTAAATAAATCATTTCGGAAGGATCGTGGGAGCATTGTTTGTCTTGATGCAATTGACAGGAGGACAAAGGATGAAACGGTTGAAGCCTCTCGGTTCTTTGTGAGTGTTGTGAATGGCGAGCCGACACATACGAGCTCTCGGCATGGCATGCGTTGCTTCTCCTCATCGTAGATATTGTGGGAACGGTTGCTGCAGTGGGACACTGCAGTCACTGCTCTACCAGACCGGCCGGCCTGCAATTAACATTCCTGAAGACTTGCCATCAGCGATGATGTCTTAGAACAAAGATATCTGTGGATATTGTGGCATTCATCTCGCCGTTTCGACGAGGTGGTAATAAAAACGGGGTCCCGGACCAGAAGACGTTCTCAGGGTTGCATTATTATATGTGGCCGAGGTGATTGCAGGAGATCGGATACGAAGGAGGACCTCTGGGAGGGGGGCCTCGATCGCCAGGTGCACAGCCCGAGGGCTCGCATTCCGAACCAAACACGCGCTGTTTGCTCATCTTCYCAATCCACGCTATTCTACCACCTCCCCTCTCTCCTTCCTTGCACCTAAATCAATTATATTATTCAGCTGAATTATTTGTATTATCATTCACATAAATTACACAATTTATACTGTGTCCATCACAATACGAGTCCTCTGTAAACACTAGCTTTAATATGATGGGGGCCCGGTGCACGCCGTGCCAGGTGTTCCTCTCTTCTACTTTATGACACACTCCTTATTAATAAATTTTAACAAGACACACTTGAATTCCATTTCATTTCAAAGAAAACAACACATACTACTAAAATCGACCATGTTGTAAAATTGTCTTTTTTTTAAATACATATTTGAATGTAAAAATAGCTATTTATGAAATAAGTTGCGAAATGGAAGTCTTTTAAGCATGCACGCGACGTGAAATTGACCAACGAGGCGAATGCCGAGTCAAGTGCCTAAACGCTTCTTTTGCAACATGTTTTATACATGATTTTTTGTACAATCACGAAATTTTTTTATAATAAATGAAAAATATGACATTGTCAAAAAAATTTGGCGAGTAAAACATAATCGATCTTGTTTGTTGCCGAGTTGTTGTTTACAAACAATAATTTGCGAAAAAATATCATCAGAAAGTTTGGGCACATAATTTTGAGAAATGAGTGATTTCGAGATGATTTCTGATATAGAAAATGCAGCAGAAGCTATGAATACCCTTATACCAGAGAGATTAAAATCTGGGTATCAAGCAACTTACGACAAATTTGAAATTTGATGCAAGGAGAAAAAAAGTGGTTACTATCACGGAAAAGGTGTTTTGGTCTATTTTTCTCAAGCTTCGAAGATTTGAAAGGCATCTTTATGAAGTAATTATTCTTGGTGAAAATAAAAATATAACGGACAATAACAGTAAAGATGTAATACATTATAACAATATATAACATAATATAAATATTCTAGACGGAAACCAGTTATTCAAAAAACCCAGAATAGAGGAAAATATTGCCGAAGACAGCCTCGTGTTTGACAATTCCTTCTACGTCTTCACGTGTTGAAATTATTGCAGAGAATCAAAATTGTCAAAATAAATCGGATACCGCTTCATCAAATGTTCAATTTTCTAATATTTATAATTATTATGGACAATAAGCCGTTTATTTTGTGTTTTTTTGGCATTATTTGCTCGTTTTTTTTTTTTAATAAAAAATGACGTTACATGACAAGTACTGTGCGATCAAAAAAATAATAAATTAGAGTTACCGCCTACTCTAAAGTCCTTCAGATGGCAATCCTGATTTTTGACATCAAATGTTAGCGGAAACTTTGACAAGTTTGCGTTATATTGATTTTGAGTGAAATAATGTTAACTTTAGAGCAGAAAATTTTTATTGTTGCAAGTTTTTACAAAAATGCTGTACAAGACGAAAACGGTGAATGGTCATTTTCACTTTCAGTTTGTATGGAAAATTTCCAGCCCAGATTCCCAGCCAATGTGCTGCCAGCTGTAGAATTTAATCGACGCCTACTCTAATTTTTTTTTTTTTTTGATCGCACTATATGTCATTTCGAAACCATTATAACAATCTAAATACAAAGTGATCCACATTGAATGATTCTGTTGGCAATCCTGACTCTAATTTTTAAAGCTTACCATTGGAGTGCGCTTTTTATTAACAATTCAACAATCTTGAGGGGTTGTACGTCAAGTATTTGTCAAGCAAAACCGTATCCGGTTGCAGTGTTTCAAATTATTAACAAAAATACTTTCAAATCTGTTTCCAACAGACTCAGTAGTTCTGGATCACTTCGTATTAACTTTATATGTCGATTGTAGCAAAAAAATATTCAAACCCACTAAAATTAAACTTTACAATTAAACTTTGTCATTTTTTGTTATAATTAATGTTATAATAATGAATGCTGAAATACAAACCGTAATGTTTGAAACAAGAAAAAATTGAACTGACAATATGTCTATATTTGTAGGTATTTTTTCGAATAATAACACTGGTTTAAGAAATATGTACCTATGTGATTAACAAAAATACAACGCTCGTCTTGTGCGTCACTCATGATGAAAAGAAGTCCAAATGCAAGTCTATGAAGTGTATTTTAAGACACATTTAAACCCACCTGGTAATAATTTTGCAATAATTTAGCAACAGTTTGAATTTTAAATAATTTTCAAATCGGAGGCATTTGTGCAGAAAGCAGGAAAATTATCGCTTGTAACAAAAAACTGTAACGTGATAAAAAAATTAACTGTTATTTTTGTTTAATTTATGCTAAAAAAAAATAAAAACAATAATGTGTTTAAAGGTATATTCAAAAAATTATTATTTGTAAACTAGTGTAATTAACAAAAATCAATCTGGTAAAAAAACAAAAAAGATTTTTGAATCCCGTTTGTTAATCTAAATACGATTATTGTGCACATTTTTAGCAGTGTTGTTAGCATTTTTAAAAATTTCTACATTTGTAATTAATAGATTTTTTTGGTAGAATCAGAAAAGTGGTGAACCATATTTAGTCGAGTTCTGGGAAAGAAAATGGAAAAAGTACCACGAACCGGAATTTATAAAATCATAAAACTGATCCATAAATTTATAATTAATTATTTTCTCGGCCAACTCTATAAATCAAAGTATCGTAAAATCGTTAAGATAATTCCGCTTCTTATAAATAATATTTTCGTATTGCAATTACTTTGGCGGCATTTGAAACCGAATTTATTTTTAGTAGAAATAACGATTGATTTTATTAAAASCCGGTACGAAATGGTTAATTTACCTAAGAACAGTTCCATTTCCAGCGTATCCATCCGTTASAATTTTTTTGCGATATTTAAACGAGACATTAAACGTTGGTTATTAATTGCTGTTATATTGGCTATAAATTTTCATTACTTTAATAGTCCAACTTGGCCCAATAAGGTATTATGTTGGGAGATGACATTTCTGATTCTCACAATTTGTTAGGTGCTTGTTATCTGATCGTTTGTTTACCTCGCAGAGAGCAAATCGAATCAACCTATTGAAAAGGATTTGTAACAGTCAGGCCTGCATTGCATTGTTTAAACTCCATCAAATTAAAATTATTCGCTTCTTGGGTGATGTTGGCATCGATATGAGGATTTTTCGGGTGGTTYTGGTCCAGATGTTCGTCGTGAGGAAAGTGGATACGAGTTCTTAGATTACGTGATCGATAAAAATAGTAGACAGAAACGGTATGGATCGAACAGGTGTTAAAGGGTTACCAGAAAAGGAAATACATCAGTCAGTCGCACCCAATATAGAGTCAGCGGTCAGACGCTTTGCAGACAAGATCATTAGTAGATTTCAAGACGATGATTTACCTTTATTGGTTTTATATTTAAATCGGTTGATGAAATAAGACGACAGCTATTTGGCCTGCGAAATTCTCCTGACTTTACTATGATATATTGCAGATATTACGATGTCTAGAACCAGCCCATATTCGCTCTCGGTTATTTATTGGTGCATTAATGAGATGCTCGAAGGGACGTCCATTGAGTATTCCTTGTCGCTACTGAATAATCATGATAAACATGAAAATCGGATATACATACCAGAAATTATTCCCAGTTACAACGTCACGACCACATTTATGCTAATCGATTATTTTAATTTGTTTCTGCTGCTAGCTACGTTTCACTAAATTTGCAAAAAACGATTTATCTTAAATTAACTCATGTTTTTATTAATTATATTATACTTTACGGAACATTCGCAATTTTTTATTTTTTACAAAACTCATTACACCAATCTAGAGTCATTTTCACATAACGTTATTTAGTTAATCAGAGTCGTTCTCTATATTTGGAAATGCATTTCGTTGTGTTTATTCTATGTTAATGAATTATTGGCAGCAAGTGTCAAAAATGATGAAGGATCCGATTTTGTACCACCTGAGGCCTCCACATCTTTGTTTTTACCGCTCGTGCTTGTTACAGCCTGTCAGGGGTCCTTCCCTTCGCATTATATTTTCTATGTATCTTCCTTCTTGGTCTTTTATTCAGATTCCTTCGAGATCACGTRCGTCGATAAACTCTCAAGCTACTTCAGTAGATATGTGTATCTTATTACAAGTAAGCGTATTCCATTCCAATTTGTATTCGTAACCCTAAAAATAAAGATAAAAGACCTCTCCAGTGTGTCGAGGTGGTGTTGTGAGCACTTCGTTTAGTATTTGTAAACACTCATAAGTTGTTTATGTGCGTGTGTGTGTGTAATATTTTCGTCTAAAAGTGTGTGAGAAGAGATGAGAGATTCCGGCGGCTTTTCAAAAGTACCTTTTAACTAAGCATACAGGTGTAGTCACTGTAGCGGTTTACCCTATTAACCACAGTTACTACTGGATAAACAAACTAACAACCTCTCTATGTACACTGGATGTCTCTAAAATGTTTACTAATCTGTACCAAACAGGAGGGTTCTTTCGTGAATTGACTCTCCTTTTTTTTCTATAGCTGTGTGAATTATTACCGAAGATTCCTTGTCATTACTAATTTGTCTTGCTTGTCTTTTATACCGGTGGCGCACTCAATTGTATCGATGTGTTTATCAGGGAGGTATTAGTGGTCCGGGAAAGGTCGGAATATTCGAGATGGGACGGCTGATAGGACCAGAGGAATGCCATTTTTTTATCTCCAATAATACGAGAATCGTGTTAAAGTGTACGGGTTCGAGGAACATCTCAACTATACGAGACCAGAACTACCAGGAGCGGCCAAAAACTCAAAATCAAAACTAACATTCTCTCCACCGTTTCAATGAACAAAACTGGAAAAATCAAATTTTTGAAATCCTGACATTGGCGTATTTTTTATTGTATGACAATGTAAGAAATAAAGCTTGTGTGAGACTAGAAAACTGACTTTTTTTTCTAGATGTCACTGGTATGTAACATCCGTCAGGGCTGTTGGACCAGCCTATTAACACCCAGTATGTAGTATTTTCAGGCTGGACGAAGCTCTTTTACCACCCATGACATTGTTTATTACGTTGCTTTAAATGCGCTTGATAAAATTTTATTCCATAATAAAATTTGTCGTTTTATTACAATTGTTTTAGTAGCTATAACATTATTTACTATTCATTTTAAAAGAAACAACGACGTTATCATCTTATAATTATAATGAAGCAGTTTCTTATAATTGGTTAGATATTTTCAAAAAAATGCAAATTAAAATTATACTTACTTATTTTTTATTTTTAGACATTTATCGTCCAGATGTTCATCATGGGTAATCTTTATTTATAACACATCGAATCACAACCACACCTGTTGGGCCGTTTTGCTCAATTCGATATCGAATATGTGTCATTTATCAAAAATTCTTCCTTTTGGTATTTAGTCAACAACTTGTTTTCTAGAAATTGCCGCACCTTTGATCAGATCATCTTCTTGTGGCCTTCCGGAATTGCCGACATAAATGCAGATTATCGCGATAAGAATCTACTACGTCAATGTTTCTTACAGTTGTCCAAATTCTTTTTTTTTTTCTTCTTTTAACCGCCCAAGAAGTCCGGAATTCGAAATATTTACTCCTGGAAGGCCGTTTTCGGCTCTCATTCATCATTTTTGTTCCATCGATGAATTCTGAAAATTGTTCCTTTTTCGGTGAGTGTTTTCACACTTGATTAAATGAAGGAATGTCCTAGTCGCAAGAAGGAATGTAAAACGATGATGGGTAGTTTTATTATCTACGGCATCTCTCCTTGACAGTCTTGGTGAATTAAGAGACCGGAAGCCGGTCCCGTAAAGTCATTCCTCGTGAGGACTGAGCATGATTTTGCACTTAAGTTTATTGCAGGTAATACAATACCTTTGCACTAGATCACTGCATCACTTTGGAATGTCGCACCGAGGGGTGGCTTGCTGAAAAATGGTTACAATCTTACGAGTGGATCACAGCTGGAAGAACTGAAGAAAGTGCGCCGAGTGACATYCAATTACACAGGGCGACAAAAKAAAGTCATGTCGTGACAACTTGACAAATTATATATCATTTTGTTCGTCTCAGTGAGACAAATCAAATGCACTAAAAAATAAATAAAAAGTCCACACACTTTGAACTAAATAATTTAAATGAATAATACTTTAACTTTAAAAAAATTATTACTCAATAACTATTAGGCCGATTTCCTTCAAATAAAGACTATTCTAAAGGGATGGCCTTGCAATTTAGAATAATATGAAATTTAAAATTGAATATTGACAAACCTTTCTTCGAACAGTGTTCGAAGAAGTTCGAAGTAAATCGAAATAATCTAAGCAAAACCRTACAAGTATTTTTTTTTCATCATTACCATCGTYTAGAGCATCTCTTTATTAGTTGTAATCTAAATTTTCAAAGGAATATACCGAGTGGTTTTCAAGATATAATTTTTTGAAGTTAAGGTWTGCTWTTCAGGCATTGCGCCATATAGGAGAAATGCATGTTAATCTTACTTAAAATTGCATTTTTATAAAAGTATTTGTTTTAAGACTCTTTTTTTGCTTAAAAATGGTTAATTGCACCTTCTTTGTTCTAATTAAAATAAACAAAGACTGTTTGTTTACTTAAAACAAATAAAGAGTTTTTTTGTTGTAAAAATGACCACTGATTATTGAGCAAAGAGGATCTAGAAGTTTAAGGCACGAGCCTTAAATATAAGGGCAAATCTTTTTCAAATCAATTCATTTTCCATTCAGATTTCGACTTGTTCACTTTGTTCTAGCTTTCTGAACTTTTTTTGAAAATGTTCTGAGCAAATACTTTCTCATCACTTTCGAGTGATGTTAAATGCAATAAGTCACCTGATTTATTTTGTTGGTACATTCTACGATTAGCTTCAGTTAGCTTGTAGGTAGAAGTTGTTGTGATAACAGTTGCACACGAAGCAACTGASTTATTGCATTCAACATCAGTAGAAAGTGATGGAAAAGCATTTGCTGAGAACATTTTCAAAAAAAAGTTCAGAAAGCTAGAACAAAGTGAACAAGTTGGAATCTGAATGTAAAGTGATTTAAGTTGAAAAAGATTTGTTCTTATATTTAAAGCTACTGCTTTAAACTTCTAGATCCTTTTACCTCAATGATCAGTGATTACTTTTAGAACAAAAAAACTCTTTACTTGCTTTAATTAGTACGCAGGTACTCTTTGTTTGTTTTAAGTAAAGAAACAGTTTTTGTTTATTTTAATTAGAACAAAGAAGGTGCAATTGACCATTTTTAAACAAAAGAAGAGTCTTAAAACAAATACTTTTATAAAAATGCAATTTTAAGTAAGATTAACATGCATTTCTCCTATATGGCGCAATAAAATACCTGAATATCAAACCTTTACTTTAAAAAATCATATCTTGAAAACTACTCGGTATATTATTTTAAAAATTACACAATATTGATAAAGAAAAAAAAATTACTCGTAGGATTACTTCGATTTACTTCGAACTTCTTCGAACACTGTTCGAAGGAAAAGTTTGCCAATATTCAATTTCAAATTGCATATCATTCTAAAAGGCAAGTCTATCCCTTTAGAATGGTCTTATTTGAAGGAAATCGGCCTAATAGTTATCGAGTAATGATTTTTTAAAGTTAAAGTATTTTAAATTCATTTAAATTAGAAAAAAAATATTTAGTTCAAAGTGAGTGGACTTTTTGAATTTTTTTTTATTGCATTTAATTTGTCTCACTGAGACGAACAAAATGATATAAAATTTGTCAAGTTGTCACGACATGACCTTTTTTTTCGTCCTATGTTACTCTATCAAAATGGACTGGGCTAGAGCTTCCAATGCACTTCAAATAAACCTATATATGGGTGGAGATTTTTTATTTTACGAAAATCATTTTTGGGTTGATTAAATTAAAATTTCTTTTTGTGAAACTATAGAAACATTTTATTCGTATCTACCACTGTGTTCTTATTTTATAGCATTTATTCCACGTTGGCTTTACTTATTGAAAAATTTTTAGCTGGCATTCCACCGTGTTATTATGTTATAGTTTATTAAGACGTTTCCATGTAGGTTCTCTAACTTTATTGGAGGAACATCATAATTAATTTTCAGCSGATCCTCATAACTTATTCGAAAGCAAACACAATAAAATGATATTGTTTCGTCTTTGAATAAATTGTTTGTGAAAGCGTGTCTGCTTTGCGACGGTAAAGTCGGGGCTCCGGTAGGTCCTCGCTGCTCCTGATCCTTTCAGTTCGTCGCGGGAGAATCCTCGCAGACACCGGGTCTGAGGCCTCGCATTCCGTCCGAATCATCGACGATTTGTTTTATTTGGCTATCGAATGGGCGGAGGGGTGCAGAGGCCGATTCTGGTCGGAATGAACCACCCAGGTGTGCCATGACTTGAGTTTGTTTTTCCTGTGTTTGTTAATGACGCCGTGATGAGTGTGTGTTGGTCGGTTCTTTGTTCTGAGATGATAAGTGAAGGGAGCGCGCATTCCTAGCTGGTTATCGGACTTCGGGGTGGCCGCGGTCGGCTTTGCCACTCCGCCGTGGGCGGCCCTCGCCCGCTCTAATGGGACCTCTACAAATCAATCAGTTTCAACTCGAGAAGACAATAGTTTCACATTCCCGAATTCGTACTCGGCGCACTTTTGGTCGACGAAATCGCGACAACGCCCCTCGGGGACCGCCTCCTCCTTTGCATGATTTCGAAGGCAATTAACGGAGGCCTGCGGGAAGATCAAGGAGTCCTGCGATTCCGGGAATGAGACAAGGTTGCAGGGAAACACGAAACTCATTTGAAATAGAGAGCTGTCAGGTAGCGAAGATGATAACCTGACAATGGAAATCGACAACTCCTTATCTGACGCTCCGAGGCCGTGTCATTAAAGTTGTTGGGAGGTGTACCTGAAACGCCGAAGAGGGTGACTGATAATTAGCCACGGCCATTATCCATTTTTATTTCAAGATAAGCTTTATTAGGGAGATTTTTACATCAAGCCTAATACCTTTTAGTTTTCAGTAACTTTGTTCTACGGAATTTTTTTCATATATCTAAATTCAACACACTAGTGAAGTTGCAAATTTCATAAAATTTATTTAAAAAAAGTAGCAAAACATCAATAAGTTTTCACAACTGTATACGTTTGTGCCACATAGCTCATTTTTTTTGTTTTTTTCAGGTTTCCTTTCAAAATCTTTGAAGATGTTAATAGACAAATCTTTCAGGTTCAACTTTAGGTATTTCTATTGTTTTGTGTTTTTTACGACCGATTTTTTATGTTTTAATGTTCACACAGTGTTTTGTATAAAATATGGCAAGGTGGTTAACGTAAACCATTATTCTTTTCCAAATCTGCAATATAAATAAGATAAGACTAAGTGGACACTCATGTCTTAGATATTTCTCTACTCAAAGCTTCAATTTTTTTGTCATTTTGTAATTCATCTATTTATGTTTTATGTTTTTTATGACTTTTTTTGTAACAGCGATTTAACCATACAATTTCTTTTAAAACAAGAACTCTTGATCATTATAATTATTAGCCAAAGATATACAGGGTGAGTATAAACTTATACGCATAATTTTAGGGAATGATAGGTTATGCCAAATAACTAATAGTGAAAAAAATCTAATAAAAGTTTCTTAGTTACTGAGATATATCATGTTAAAATAGTATATTATGTAACTAGAGTTATAAACGCTATTTTAGAGATGAGTTGTATTAGGCACGAGCGAAGCGCACCGGAGCGAGTGTTTAATAAAACGAATGTCTAAATAAGTTTAGACACGTGTGACATACTATACTTTTTCTACGACCACCAGAAAAATTTTTACTTAAATTTGGAATTTGTGACAACTGACAGAAAGCTAACTTCAGCCCGTGACTAATATGACAGTTGCTATTAGCAACGTGACTAATACACATAAGAGTCACGGCTTGTCAAGATGTATATGAAAGATCACTTAGCATCATGGAAACATATACAGTAATCCGTGTTTTAGATGTCTGAGTAGAAAAACTCTATTGGGTTTTAAAATTTTAGTAAATTTGAACTGATGATACAAACATTTATTCACACCACGCCTGTCCATATAGCTAATTGAATCGATTTTCTTTATTTGGAAAGGGTTAAGTACTTAAGTGGTAATAAAATAATAAGCCAATAAAAATATTGACATTTATCCAAAATATAAAAGTTTTGTTTTAATTATTTTTTATTTTTTACTTATTATTGATCATAACGTTCATTTCCTAAGTTTATGCTTATAAGTTAAGACTCATCGTGTATACCTACCTATATTTTATAATTTTGTAGTTTTAGAAAAGGGAATTTCTCTACAATTAATCATCACTTGCTAAAATATGGTCTAACTAAATAAACTGACAAGCTGTTTTGCATTGAAACGTTTTATATATTTTATAATTTAAAAATGTCTTTTTGTTTTTAAATAAGTATTTAATTATTTGTACTAAAAAATCTTAATTGGTACATACTGTATATGATATGTGTTGATATGGGTTAAAAACATTGAGTAAATTTTAGAAAACAGTATTCATTGGCACTTATTATTGGTGTTCGTTCTACCTATCTGTAAATTACAAAATATTATTAAGTTCTTTGAGATTAAAAGTATAAAAAATAAATATGTTTAACATAAGGCGTTTTGCAACAATACCAACTACTCAACCACCAACTATGTGTTAAAACTACTATCTCTGTGTTTTTAAAGGGCGTTGATTTATTGAATTGAGTAAAATTCCTGCTTGAGAGTAATATTGATATATTATCGATGTTTCTGCTAGTATTTAGTTATTACCGTCCGTTAATCTTGTCGTGGTGTTATTTGTTAGAAAACGAGTAACGGCACGCATTTCCCACATATCATCTTCACCATATAAATTGTATTAATGCGTGAGGTCCTCATTTCTGAGTTATGATGTGTACAGTAAATTCCTAAACAAAAAATAAATAATTCGATATCATATAGTTCATAAAAGTCATTAATTGAGTTAGAGAAAACAAGTTGCATACATCACTTTCAAGTAATTTATTTTTCTTTTTCGATATTTTTGATGCGCGCTGTACATTTCCATCGCTCGACATAAATCTCAGTTGAGTTGAATCAACTGACATCGGAATTATACCATGTATTGAATTCAACAATTGATTCACTTCTTAAAATAAGAAAACATTACGTTGTTTCTGTTACGTCGAAATCTGCTATTAGTTGTTTGTTGACTATTTAAAACGCCATAAACGTCTTCAAGTGGCTACTTAAATGGTCATTTCGACAACAATTACGTCCATTTATCCCTAAAGTGGCTCAAATTCCAACTGTCATTTTAGTGCAAACGCGAAAGCTTGGAGTGGAGACTGCAACGACAGAATAAGAGCCGAACACATTATTGTGTTAAAAAATATAAATTAAACTAAACATATACAAATGTAATAATWTTAGGTTTAGTGCTCAYTCTATGAGTTCTTGTGGGTTTATTAAAGATGATTTGGTTTAYAACGTAATGGGTTGTAAAACTGCCACAAGAAGATTAAAAGCAAAAACGGTTTCATTTTCTGTTAATTTTTCTCTTTGGAGTTTGTCGGTAAAAAAATGTTTTTTGTGTTTGAGTCATCCGTTTGCGATAAATTGGCGTGTTCTTTGATGTTTGGCGTTTTGCTTTGTCTTTTCCGCCTTTCAAGGAGGAGATTTGAACGTGCGATCAGGAGTGTAAACTGGGGTCTGGGATTTTGGCTGCATCACCATAGAGCGGTTGAAACCAAACGTTATTGGAACTGTCTGACAAGGTCTACTAGACCAATTAGGGAGTTGAGTGTGCTCTTTAACGAGTTCAAGTAATAACACGGCCCGAGCCGCTCCGGATGCTGTGCCTCCCAGGACGAAATCACCGCTGTCACGGTTATTTGCCACCCGCAGATTACGACCAAGTTATGCCATTTCACATCTCTAATAACAACTCACCACCGGCCTCTTTTGCCATTCCAACAGGCAGATTTCGTGGATAAGTGGAGGGACCGTTTCGCCGACGTTTTGCCTTGTTAGGCCAACAAGAAATAATAGTGAAAATGGATGATTTCATTATGGTTCTGCTGGTGATATAAATTTATCCGTGACGACAACCACAACAATCGTGATTTCACACCTAATGTTCTATTTGATTTTATCGTTGCACGCGTTATTCATCCCCGAAAACACGAAACGACGGTTTTTACGGCGAGCGTAAAAGAGCTATCACGACCAATATTGTGTTTAAGGGGATTAAGTCGGGCGTAATTCATGACATCTTACTCTTTTACTATAATGATGATGGATGAGGAGGCTTAAAAGACATTTCTCGGCCGTATAAATTATAATTTGGCATTTTTTATGGTCGTAAAAACGAGCACCTGTGCTTCAAATATATAATTTCATAGACCATTTTTTGTGCAATGGCTCGAATGATATTAAAAGTCTTGGATGTAATGATAACTTTAGAATTAATGATCTTTTATGGCATTGTTGATTTTTTTAGCATTCTTATACTCGGAAAAAAATTAAACGAAGAAATGCGCTCAAAGTAATTGCAAATAATAATATTATAAATGCTTTTCATCATTTTATGTCGAAACACAATAATTTAATAATACTTAATTTTGGTTGGAATGTCACGAATAATTGCTTGATTTTGCATGCCAGTTTTGCCTCCAAAATTGAAAATTTACCTGAAATAATTGTAAGGCTGTTGTTTTTGAATAGATTATTTATTTTCTCAATTTTACAGAAAAGCAATTATTTGTTTTATATACGTAATAATGGTTCATTATTACATTTTGTAGTTTGTCAAACACTAAAAACGATGGTAATGATTTAGAAAAAATGAACCAAAGTGAGTTTTATAGGTAAAAATAGTATGCAGTTGGTCAAGTACAAATTTTGGGACCTAAAAAATTCACCAGTTGCTTAGTTGCTTGACTAATTTATTCCAAGTTTTGCAAATCGATTATAAAAAGTGCTTGCAAATTAAAAAAAAAACTTATGTTATTTATAAACAACTTATTAATATTATTAAGAGATACACTTTTTTCTTAAAGTTATTCAAGCCGGATCCGGGTTGTGGACCATAGTTTGAAGACCTTTTGCTTAAGGCTAATCCGCCTAAATACAGCAAATATTTAGTGACTTGCGTTACAACGCGTGGGTAAGCTTCAATTTTTAATAAGATTTAAAAAGTGTCTTTTTTTGTGTTTCGATTGCTTGTTTATTCGACACGTAAAGTGTGAATCAAAAGTTACAAATAAATAACACGAACCTACAACTATTGTAGAAATTTGAGCATTTTTTATGTTTACTTGTTTTATCAACTAACCTTCAAAAGAATGTTTTTATTTCTGTCGTCCTTTGACGGTTGTTTACTCTAGAGCAATTTATATACTAAATGTTTGTTGATTTGGGGCAGGGAAAGAAATTTGTGTAAAGAATAAAATATTTTAATATATACAGTCTGTACAAAAGCTTACATAACGTTAAGAAACAATGCTTGTCAAGTTATATTACAAATTAATCTGTACACTATGCACATACCTATAAAATAATCAATAAATACTCCTTATCCAGGTACTAATATATTACACTTGACTCAATTGCATGGACTCGATATTTTAATACAAGTAAATTTCCAACTTATAACTTTCACATCGACTGCAGTTTAGACATTAAAAGACCATGTTTCAATCACGTGAAAGACAACTGGTTAACAGCAATCCAGCAACCGTTGAATGTCTCAAAGGGTGCAGATTTAGTTTCGCATCGAATTAAAATTACAATCACAGATTCCACTTCCACATAGTTTTTCACGTGGGTTTCACCCAGTCCAAATAGCACAAAATCAGTCAGTTCTCACTGGGACTATGCAGCTGCAAGCAGTCTCAAAGTTTTTAAGATCACAGACACTAGAAAGTTCCCCCGATTTGGTCCATCATCCTGATCACAGATATCGTTTTACCGTCCCGGAGGACATTATCGGCAGCCGCAGCCCACAACCACCATCTCCTTATAGTTCTTGAGAATCACATTGCCGTCGCTGCCCAAATACAGCATCGACATCTGCCCCAGCTGCGTCGGCACGCAACACGGCCCCGGCACCTCTTTCGGCTTCATTGAATTCACCAAACTCTGCACAATAGCATGGTTCGTCGTGTTCATGTGGTCGGGGATGGGGTATTCGCATTCACCCCCGCAGTAGTACGCGTCGTACCCCAAAGGGGCCACAATCCAGTCGTTCCACCCCACGGCAGTAAAATCGACGTACATCTGACGTCTCCGACACGGATCTTTTAAGTTTTTTCTATGCCGACGCGAACTTTGCCTCTTGGGCCGCATTTTCGTCAATTCCGTCCCTGTCCTCTGCTGGTTTTTACCATCGTCGGTGTATGTGAAGAGAAGAGGCTGGTGTTGGTACCACTGAAGCGGAGCGGTGTCACGCCGCAGCCTCAGGTGCTTCTTAGGAGGTGATGTTTTCGCCCCAGTTGAATACACCACGATGAGAATACCATGATTGCTCTTGGAGTCTTGCATCCATCGCGCGACTGCGGGGAAGACGTCAATACTCACAGTGGTGTTTTTTCGAGTATCAATTACTTTTGAATCGATGACTCGGGTGATGGGGCCGTGGACGCCCTTAACACCAGGTTGGAGGATGTCGTGGACTAAGACACGTTGAAATGGATGGAAGGTGACATTTTCGACTGTTTCACGGGTTAATTTGATTTCAGCTGCTGTGAGTTTTTCGTGTTTCGGGATTGAAGAAACGTTGAATTTTAACCGGAATCGGTGGGGGTGGACGAATTTTTCGTCGATTGGACTTTCTGCAAAAAACAACTTGTTAAATATGCATTTATGTAACAAGAAATAACATTTACCAATTCAATTAATAAGTGAAAATTGAGTAAACAATGTTTTGTTTTTCAAAATTAAAATCATGTGACTGGGGATTTCAAAAGAACATACTTTGAAATGCAAATTTGGATCGTGTTTATAAAAAATCTGTTCAAGGTGTAAACAAAAATTTTTACATTTTAATAGGCTCTATGTTGTCTGTGATTGTATAATAACTGTCAATTTTGTCATTTATTGTTTAATGTTTATGATAAGAGAGTTATGTAACTAAGCTCAAGATTGGGAAGTGTATTTTGTTTGGGTCAGTCCTTCATGTAAACTCGCCCTACTTCCAGCCACAATTCAAGTAGCGAAAGTGGGACGATCACATTATACAACAATTCATTCTTAATCGAAACAGAATCTTTTGGATTTTAGTCAGGTAAAATTTGAAAACTACTTGATTTGCAGAACGGCGGGAGGTGGTGTTTATCCCGTAATAAAATCTTAAAATTTAACAGGTGTTTCGAGGAAACAGAATTGAAAAGATGCTTACATACCCACATGGGTGAAACTCCGTACGGTGTTGGCACTCTGGGTGTAGAGTCCCGGTAAGGGTAAAGAGGCTGTGTCGTATTCAAAGTTGTTTTGGATATTGTAGATCTTCCTCAGGGCTTCCGGTACTTGCACTTTGCCTTCGATTTTCGGCTGCTCTTTGAGACCGAACAGGGGTAACAGCGTCGACTTAAATTCATTGAGTATTTGTTGAGGTATCGAGAGAGATTTACCCCAACAACATGCCACTATAAGGTATATCAGCATGTTCAAACGCATCGCGATACCTGCAATTAAGAAAATCCGTTTAGTTTGCTTTGAAACGGGTTTATGTTTTGCAGTAGCGCGCTTGAAAAACTACTAATTTGTAAGTGAGACTTTAGTGTTAATTGTTAGGTAGCTACATTCTTGCAAATATTTGATCGACACATTTTTTAAGTGGCGAAGAATCAACAATTAAAAAAATTATTGTGTTCGGAGAAACCAACTTCCTTGAACTTTAGTTCAATGCAATTTCTGGATGTTATTCAAATGCTCACATGACGCATTTACAAATACTGAATAATTAATAATTATTGCAGCAACTTGAGCAATTTACTTGATTCAATTCGCGGATTTTCTAATAAGGAAAATTTTCTGTTTATGTGAGATATGTCACCTTCACAAGAAAATTCACATAAACACTCGCGAGGAGACACCATTTGCGTAGTTAGGTGGCATATATTTGCTAGAAGCAAATACATGACAGATAACACCTGTTCGAACACTTTTCTCAACACATTATTTTATACAATTGATTATTATCTCGCGCTCTTTACAACCTCACCGTAGCTTTATTAAAATATTTTATTATTTTTTTCCATGAAAAATATTGAAGCAAAATAAATAATTATATTGTTGCACCGAGTAATATAGATTTATGAATAAATAATCTCATACGAGGTTATTATAATAAGCAGCTACCTGGAATAATTATAACTGAGAAATAGTAGCCAATCTTATTTATTTATAGTAACAATATAATATGTACTAATAATAGCGAGTGTACTACTTTTCGAGAATTTTCACTCCTTGTTATGTTTACTTGAACTTGAATAAAACAATTTAAATAAAAACAGCACGCATTTTTCCGCTTTATTGTGGTTTTATGTAACATATAATGACTCTTTTTGTAATAAAGAATTTGTACTCAAGTCACAAAAATGGAATTATGCTGATGGAAATCTGTGATTGTGAGAAGAACATTCTCCGGCCTTCAAATTCAAGGATGTGTTTCCAATACCTATTATTGAATTAATTTTAATCAAATGACTCTGGGTACTAAGATTAGAGATAGAATGATTGATTTGGGGCTTCTTTGTGTTAGACTGTTGAAACTCTATATAAGGCTTGGGTTAAAATTGGCCTTTTTTGTATTTGTCAGTTTGGTTGGTGTAATAGCTCGGAAAGCGGTAAGCTCCCGGAGTGGGGTAGGATTAAACCGGGACTAATAGCCTGGGTTCCGTGAAACGTTCGGATTCTGGGACGCGTGCCGTTGGAGGGAAAAAGCTCTGGAAGCTCCCGTGCGAACTTAGATTAGTCGACGTCACGAGTAAAATTAAGTAAATTAACTTATAATGAATATGGCATGCGCTAGCACAACATGGCAGTGGAGAGGTCAAGCAAGTTGGACTTGTTCACCTTTCAGCGACGGCTGGAGAAAGCTGACATGCGGTCTCTTCGAGTCGCAACTTCCAAAACTATTCAGTCGACTAGCTCCAAGCAGTCTCTTAGTATAGCCCCGTTCGAATTGTTAATTCCATCAACATCCCACATGTCATTGGCGAAGGCAGCAATCTTTGCCCGAGGAAAGCCAAGGTTGATCCGTTATAATAACCACAGATTCGATTCTTATTTATATTGTATTTGAATGATTGTCAATTAAACTATTACAAGGTTGTTGTTTATAAATCGTTGACGCGTTGCCGTCGCCCCGACCGAACTTTGAAGAAGAGAATCGCTCGTCTCTTTATGGTAACTTGAATTCCCATTATGGCATCATAGCGCCGTGCAGTCTGTGAGCACGAGTATGGAACTTATTGCTGTCGATTTCTCAACAACATCGGAATAAATCACGCCGACCGACCGAAAGGTGATTTCAATGCCGCTAAAAAAACAACTTACGATTCRGATTACTCCTCCTTTTTAATATCACTGATATAATCCAACAATGGACCACATTTACAAACACTCTCTACCCACAACTCTATTAGTTCCGAATTCAAAAGAAAACTGCGTTATAGTAACAAGTCCAGGACAACACTGATGAAGAAGGATGCCACCCTCTACCTGTGCATGCGTTAAGGTGTGGGGTCTTCGACGACCAATCAGAGCAAGGTACAGGATACGACACGTGCGACTATATATCAAACAATACTTAGGTGTATATTGTTGGGACCATTGTGGTTCTTCCAAAGGAGGCGCTTTTCACAAGATCGATACACAATTCTCCCTTTTTAAACAAACCAAACTGAAGCACTGATGATGATGATGCACTTGACTTCTGATCGTGATACTCATTTACACCAATTGCTGTCTTAATTGGCTCATTTAAATATACATACATGATGAGGCTGGAATTTGGAGACGCTTRCATAATAAACCTCATTCCTATCTATTTTATTTAAAAATCCTCAAATTAGAATAAAATTTGTAACCGTCTCAAAATGGGATTACTTTGAAATTCCCCACACGCCCACAATTTGTTTACATTATTTATTTTTCCATAAATAGAAACACATGTAACATTACAACAACATTTTGTATGTATTGTAACTTGATCATACATGATTTCTTTCATTTGTTATTTATGTAATTCTATCCAGCCTCRGCTACTTTAGTATTCGCTCCATTTAATGCCGCCAAGTCTATAGATCAAGAGTTCATTTACAGACAAACTTTTTGAAAAACTGAAAAGTACTGTTACGATCATAAAATACATCAATCCTGACGGCGTATGAATTCACCTTCAAGTTCAGATGGAAATTTACAGTGACTTTTTCTATCACTTTCTCCAGCAATGACATAACTTGAATTTAGCACCGGTGTTGTGTTTGTTTCATGTTCCTTCCGAGAGTTCAATTGTGTGTCAATTATTTATGAAATGGACCAATCAAGTCGCGTCGTTTTGTCGATTGCAGCCTATCAAACACAAGTGCGTCTTTGAAATGGAGCGAATAAACACTAGGAGCCATTCGAAAGACTAGTCTTAATTAATTAAGCAATGCAATCGTCGACTTAATTCGTGTAGGTGTAAATTGCCATTAATTGCCATACACTATCCAATTAATTAATAAATCCGTTATTTAAAAGCTATTTAACACATTTTGCGTTGGTTAATTCGGTGTGTGAGAGGTGTGACATAAGAAACCGAACGATTTTCACGCGTCTATTGTGAAGACGATGAAAAAAAAAAAGAACAGTTACACGGAGTGTGTTGAAATTTTGAAAATTTATAGCTTTAATTACGAACGTTAAAACCGCCCGTATAAAAAACGAATGAATAATGATCCAGCTTTTAAAAATAAACAAAGATTAACCCTTTGCTATTAAAAAGCACCGATATTTACTACCATCAGAACTGAATAAAAAGACGAAGAAGATCCATCCACTACGAATAAAACACACCTGTTGCATTAAGAGACGTATGGGCACCAATGGCTTTCTAAATAAAACTTGTAAAACAACTATCACGGAACAATCTTCATCCTTATCTAACCCGACGGTTAGAATAAGAAAGAAGCAGTCGCGTAGAGGATCCTCGACTATCAACCTGATAGAATATTTTCTTCCAACGTTCTCGGCGATAAATCAACTGCTGTTATTATAAAATTAATTGAAATATCAGGTTACCTGCCTTATCGACGTTGTTCTATTGTTTTACTCATAGCCAATCTGAAACCAATAATAATATCCAAAGATCTCCTTACGAGAATCAATTCGGATTTTTTCCATTGTTTGATCCAATTCTAAGGTYTGTATTATGTTGCAATATATAACATTATTTAGAATGTGCCTCCGGGGGTATTATGCGAGTGTTATAAATAAACGCCTGTTCACCCGTGCCTGTCAACGGTGCAAAAGTGTSTCGCTTCAGATGGACCGATCCTGACAGGATAATTTGTATTTCGGATGRCTCATAAATTGTTTTATTGAAAAATTAACCTAGACAGAGATATTTCTTTGTAAAAAATTTGTACTTGTTGGTAGATTTGGTCGTTTTTGTTAATTTCGTCGAACATGGAACGGCCCCATTAGATAGGTATAATGCTTGGTGTAAAAAACGTGCATGAAAGAGTCCATTAATTAAGTAAAACAAACAAAACCGCTGGAGTGCGGGAATAACGCAAAGAAAGTAAAAAGTCTCAAGCGGTAGTGAACATAAGATTGTATCTGGTCGATGATGCTCCTCCGCCACTGGTTTGATCCTGGTCTCCCGATTAAAGGTGAAGTGGAAGCACAGGTGTGTCGAGTCTAAGTCACGTGTGGCCCGCGTTTCAACCATAAGAGCACACAAGAAGACGAGACTCGCCGTCGCAGCCACCAATAGGACATTCCGCTTCACTTTAATGAGAGGTCATCCTCAGATTTACGGTTAAATCTCTTTGTCTTCGTGATTAATGCTAGCAGACGAATGGAGCTGCCAGCGATGCATTCGTATTGTTTCCGAAGTGAAGATGGCGACTTTGATGCCACTAATTTTTATAAAGCGATATTTAACATAATAAGCGGGAAGAGCTTTTGAATTGTTGCCAGTTATCGGCGATGGGCAAATTACACCATGTGAATCAGCAGGAAGGCCAATTAGCGGAGACTATCAACCTTTAAAACTTCTGCTAAGGTCATTTTGATTTGAAAATAGTCAAGGTTTGGTTSGAATTGTTACTCCTGAGGAATTTAGTGATGAGCTTTTAGCGATGACTCATAATTATCCTAATTAATTCACTATCCGGCCTGAATTTTAGACGAAAGTCTTGCTGCCGTGGTGCATACCAGAGATAATTAGAGAATATTTTACAGGTATTTAAATCGACTAGTGTTTTTCTAGTACCAAATTGTATAAAATTGTGTAAAAACATTTGACACGTTTAACTTAAACTAGACCATAACTCATTGTTTAATGGTTTCATTAAAATACCAAACTGGTATTTAAATATTTCAAATCTGAAACTTACACCCAAAACTCTAGCTATTTATCTGCAGTTAAGTGATTAAAATATGTTCTACTTATCATTCGTATGTTAGTTTTATGTAAATCGTTTTTTAAATTTGTTTTCTTTATTAATCTCTTCTCCATTAAAGACACACGAACAAGTTAATTATTAGCACGGACTTTTCGAGAAATAAATGAAAATTTTCACAACGAATTGTCGACAAATTATGTCATTATCTTAAATGTGGACGACCTCTATTTACAAATTTCTCTTTGCTAGACAGCATGACGCTACTCATACAACAATAGCATTTTACTACAAACCGGAAAACAAAGATTAACATCACCATTAAAACTTGGAAATACATATCAATCATTTTATATTGGGGGTATTTCCTAAGTCAAATAGACACTAATACGATAATAATCGTTCCAAGGAAAATTGACGAGACCTTCCCCGAATTAACACCAAATTAAGCTCGATAAACTTTCACAAACGTTAGATAAAAATCAAACGCGGAAACTCGTCTTAAAATCTGTTAATCAGTAAAGTAAAATGAATAGATCGGGAGATAGTGGAGAGTGAAGATACCTTCCATTATCTAAACTGGCTGCTACGATGGTGCTAACTGTTTTTTAAATATGTTTGACTTTGGGACAAGAAATTAGATCTTTGTGGGCACATAGCCATCCTAATTAATTAACACATTAAAATTAAAATAAATTTAGCAATATTCTGAAACAAATTGAAAACTAATCAATCACATTCGTTATGTAAATGTCCATATTTTTATCGCCAAAATTAGGTCTTTATCTGAATCAATGCCAGATTAAAATTTTAATATAAATCAAAATGACACTTTCAACCATTAATTAGTTATGTTCATTTACATTTGATTTGTGAAATAGCTAATTTATGACCTTACACTTTTGGATCATGAAAAAAAGCTTTTTTATGATAGGTACAAAATCTTCTAGTAATATTTTTAAAAGTGAGTTTCAACTTTGTTACTAAAGAATTTTTATGTTACTAACCAGTTTTAATTCTTGAATGGTTTTTAATTACTATGTCTTTTTCTCAGATAATTTGTTTTCTTTCATGTATGTTTATGAATGTAATATTGACAATCAATTAATATAATTATAGTCAATTTCTTACGTCAATTATTTTTAATGCTAATTTATTTTTATATTAAGAGCGCCACGTTTTTATAAAAAGAAATTAGTAAATAGTAGTTATTATTAATGATAACATGATTAACACTTAAAATAGACATATGTAAACAAATAAATTCTGTATCTAGGTATACAAAATGCATTTTTCTTTCTTAACCCTAACATGACTGTTCCAACCAACACATTTACATAACGTGGGTGAAAAATACCCTAAAGCATTTTGACGTTATTTTGACCACCGCGTTTTGAATTATTAAGTTGTACTATTGTTAAAATAATAGTTGTTTATTTAAACAAAGGCTTTATAAATTTTCTTTACATTTATGTCGATACAGTGTTTTTTACAAATAGGTTTGCTTCTTGTAGGTTGCATTTTTGGGCATATAAAGCACTTTTTTTAGTTGTTAATTTTTTACTGGTGTGTTGCTTGTTGTTCTGTTTGTGCATTTGACATGAATGTTCTAATATCTTTTAAAATTGACTTGAAAATCACACAATGATTGAATACGTTGAAACACCCGCGTTGAGTGTAATTACTAAAAATATTTTTTTATTCTGTAAATTACAAAATTTGTAAAATATAACTTCAACTATTGTATTAACAACAATATAAAGAAGGCATAAATATAATCTTATAAAATCATCAGCAAAAATAAAAAAGAAATTTAAAACTGAACAAACAGTCGGGTACGTTAAGGGTTAAGAAAACGTGATTTTTTTGGTACTGGGATAATTAAGTACAAAAATGAAGAAATATTTTAAATACAACCATTAACATTTTTTGATATTTATAGCATTCAGATCATTGTTAATTTAGATAAAAAACACATTTGATGGTCTAGAATTTTAGATTTTTACATTCTTGAACATTATTTATGATAGCTTTAATTTTTTTCTGTAGCTAATTTAATATTAATATTTTCTTGTTTTCTCAATATAGCATATTACAAGGACATAACACAGATCAAACGTGCTTGGAATAAACGCGTGATGAAAAAGATATTACAACCTAAAAGGGTATCAAAGTGAATCTGAAGATTCATTAAATCAACATCTTTTTTTACTTTTTCACTTGTCTTGTTTACTCTTTTTTTCACAATCTGTTGTAACTGCATTTTAAAAGCTGTTTCTAACTTCAAGTAAGGCTTAAGCTATTGGAAGACAAAAAATAGTTTCACATCAAAACCACAAAAGTGTTTCATAGATATTTCTTGTATTGTTCGTTAATGGAGAATGTTTTGGGTCCGGTTTTCCAGCGTCGATTTTCCGCATCGGAATGTGAAAAACGCGTTCGTGGGATCGGGAAGGAGCATGGTGCAGGTTTATCCCAGGAGAGGCAGTGCGGAGTATGGCATCTGAACGCCGCGAGCTATTGCCAACCAGTTTGGTTAGATTGTGGACATCTGTCCTCTGTGTATTAATGTCACTGCGCGGAAACTTTTCCAATAAGTGTTTATCAACTTGCATATGCATGAGTATTTCAGGTTGCTACGAGGAAGTTACTCAAAGATATTTTTCACGTTATCCATAGTCGAAATACGCTTCCATCAGATTTCCCGGAGTCCGAAAGTTCGTCGCCGCAACAGGTGGTCCGTTTCGCAAAAGACAACACTGTCGCAATCGTATTCTCTCTATTTACATATTGTAGTGTCAATTTTAACTGTGTCACTGTATGTAACAACATATGGAAACGTACAATTCGAATTTATGTAAACAAATTTTTCACATTCCAAAAACATGACATCAAATTAAGTAATAAACACATTTTATATTAATTAATCACACGGTTCTTTTTTTATTACTTCCTTGTGGAGCGTCCAGAAAACATCGCGGCCTTCTATAGTCCAAGTTCCGTTTTTGGTTCCGGGGAGGGGACCGGTGAAAGAGTTTCGAGCGCGAGTGCTTCACGATTGCACTTTTTCATTTCGGAACAAAAATTCCAGCTATGTAAAATATCTTTATAACCTGTCGAGGCTGCTCCTTCTGCTTAAATACTCACTTATCGGACCGATGGTTTCATTTTTTACCAATGTGGAACCGGTCAATTAAAAACGCAACAAACTTAAACTATTTCATCTGATTATCCAAAGTCCAATTAATCATCATTAATATGCAACATTTGCTATTGTTTATCATTTCTAGTTCAGTTCAGTTTAATTCAGTTTTCTAGTAATTACTTAGGTACATTAATAGTAATTTATCTCCACGTGTTTCAAAAGTAAGAAACTGAAAATAAGCGTAGAAGGCCAACTTAGTGTTAATTTCATAAAATTTTTCAACTTCCTACATCTACAAATTTGAACTTATACTCTCTTACTTTTTACTCTCTTACGGTATTTCAGCCGGTAAAAAATAAATTCCAAATATTTGTAGACGCACTGCAGATGTTATAACTATGCGTAAGAATATTTATTCATAAGAGATTGCAGACTGAATGTAACTTGAAAAACTCCTTGAATGATTCATGTTATTTTTAATTGTTGTTGGACTGGATGTCTGAAACTTTACAAAAAAATCCTGAAACTCAGGTAAGAAATCGCAAGTAGTTAAAAAAATTCTCTTTCCGCTTTCAGTTTTCAAAGCAAATAGTATTTTTGTAGGATATAGTATTTTTCTGCTTTTTCTCTGTTTAAATAAATATCGTAAACTGAATTTTAAAAAATTKCCAAAAAGTCTTGAATAAAAATTTAATCAAACACAGAAATTGTTGTTTTCTTTTAAGAGAAAAATGGTTTGGGGTCTGAAAACTCGAAATAGAACATACAGGATATGGAATTTCTAAAAAGGTAAATGATAACACTATTTACCTAAAAATGTGCAAATTGAAAAGTATGCCGCTGACGTGATTTTTATTTTTAAATTAAGTCACAAAATTATCTCATCGCATGTTTAAGCTTTTATTTCTAACATTTAGGTGATAGACTGCATTTTAATGTTGGATGCATGTTCCAATTTAAATTCCATTTCAAACTAAGAATTATCTTGTCAGCACTAAAATTAAGTATACATTTGGTGGACATAATATGACATCATTTTAATATTGATTCTTGATTGCATTTAATGAATGACATGAATTTTGCATTGAGGAACGAGATAGAGCTTTATAATACAAACTTACACTTTCTATCAAATACTTTGTGGGTTTATTTACGATTTCTGGCAAGCTTCGGTAATAATTTGTTGGATTAGAGACATTACGGGATGTAGAATATTGCGTACGTTAGAAAGTTAATTTCTAGTACATTCGTATAAGAGGAATCGATTGAAAATATTCGAAAAATGCATTCCGTACTAAATCTAAAAAAATAACTTTGCTTTCGAAATAAATGAATCATGAATCATCAAAAAATTTCTAGAGAAAATGAATTCGGCGAATAAGTTTCATGTAGGTGTATTAAGCTTCTTACAAATGAAATGTAGTAAAGATTTGTTTGTTAAAAGAATGAGGTTTCAAGCAAAAGAATAAACACATCCGCTTATCCCGCGTTAATGATTTCTGATACATACGGAGGCCTTTTGGAATGTTTGTAATTGCCATCAGCCACGCTAACCGTCAGCGTAACTGTGAAATGAGCGTAAGGATCATTACATTCAACTCAAACTTGTTAAAATTGCAAATATCACGTCTTGGCTTGTTAAATGGAACAGGTCTTCGATAGGAGGGATTTTTTTCGAAACCAAATTTGATAAATGCGTCGCATTTGTGCGCTCGTTAAAATTACCTCTAGTTGTGCCGTGCGGTCGTGTAATCCGGGTTTGGATCGCTGGAGTTTCAGGAGGGCCGGGTCGGGTCCAGGCGGCAACTACATGGCCCGAGTCCTGAGGGAGAGAACAGGAGTGGAGGAAAGCGAGCACAAAACACTGCGGTCATAGCACGTATACAGCACTAGAATTCCCAAGTCGCGTAGATTGAGTAAATTAGGAAACGCACCTACGCATTCGTCAGTTTTTATTGGTAAAGTCACAGTTTGCACTCTTCACTGTTAATTACGCGCGGTGTGTGTTGGTGTCGATGTTTTCGATCAGACTGGAACCAGACTTACTGTCGACTTCCACTTGCTCCCAACACTCGAAGACGATTTCACAATTTTTGAGGCGATTTGAGGGCCGGCATCGCGCGTACGGCGCCTACCTTCGTACTGATATTGATTGCACTAAAACGAGGATAAGTAGTCTAAGTCGTGGTTTTACACACTCGACCATACGGAGAGATTAGCATACGTTGAGGTGCCTTCAGATAAATCAGATCCCATTGGTACGACTATCTTACAAGGACTTGATTGGTCGTTCTTTTACATGGAATGGCGGAGTTACACGCCATTTTTAGCGGGGCAGCGGTGCCTCTTTACCTGGATTAAACCAATTCATCGCTTTGGCCTTTCACAAAAATCATATTTTATAACACATTGTAAACAAATACGAGACACTCTACTACCAAACACCGGAAATTTCTTTATTGACCCTCGTAAAGCTTTCGTTTCCGACTTTTATTGTCACCTGAAAATCATGAATGGACGATTCAAAACCGTTTGCCTTTTCAAGTACCTCAATAAAGTGGTTCCACTCAATCGGCTTTCTTCAATAACAAGAACAACTCATAAATCAATTATATAACGTGTGGCGCAGTTAGAAATTTTCAAAATTCTACACCGACGGAACGTGTTTTTAATTTGCTCATAATTCATCTACTAAAGTAATTACAGGCGCTTCTTATAAAAATATATTATTTAAACAGTAATTATATAAATTAATGTCAATCAAGAAATTAATTATTGCAACACAAAAAATAGGGGAAATCCTATAACAGCCACGCAAAGCGTTTCAGCAAAATTTTCACCAGGCAACCAGCAAAACACTCCAGGTGCTCATCTCAAGTGTTATTTCATTCTTTCAGCAATACTTGCCATAAAACACATGTCATCTTGTATTTTTTTAATAACCAACCTCTACTAATGATGTTGTTTTATCTCAGTATTTGTAAATGAATAAATTCTTTTGTTGATTCATCGGTTAAATAATCATCTTTAATAATAATCAAAAGAATTTTTCAGTCGTGTCGTAACAAGTGACAGCTGGTAGAGTACTACAAGTACTTACAGTAAATATACAATATTTAATATGTTAATTTTTTACGAGTGTCCATGGCAGTATAATAAATAATGTTAAGATTTCATAAAACTTTAGTCACTTTTTATTTTTTAAAGGCTAAAAAAATTTTTGTTTGGACGTTTAATTAAGGACTTAAAATTATTGATATTATTTTATTAGAAAATAATTAACGATTAATATTAACAAAATTTTTCTGGTTAGTTGTATTTTTCAATTGGTGATAGAAATGAAAAAAGACCCCTAAAATGTTTTGTCTATGTATTTCATTTATGTACAAAAACAACAAGATAGTTTACAAGCACCTACTTTTATCGTATTACAAAATTTAACACAACTTGAAAACCAATGATATTTTTTAATAAATAACTACGAGATACAATTTTTTAACTAGTCAACCAGTCCCGATTTACATAAATATAAAACATCCTTACAAAATTATTTACACGTCCTAGTGATTTATTACGTTTATGATATAAGGCACATTATGATTGATCAAAAAAGTAAGTACTTATTGCAGATGAATCGATGATATGTAAAAAATAAAAACAGTGAAAGTTAAAAATCTGGAAGTAGTACAACATCCCTCTACCACTTGGGTCTAATTTCTTTAAAAATCCATTGTTGGTAGGCATTGTTAATATCACACGGCATTAATGAAAGATGTGATGTTTGTGGATGTAAAGCTATACATTTCTTGTGTACCCTATGTAGTATCGTATGGGTGTTTTCGTCATACAACCATGGCCCATCGACTGTGCCCATCCGACAAAACGCCAACTTGATCCCTTGGGCGTCGGCTTCGATACACCTCTCGCCTACCCCCAACTGACCCTTGGCGTTTAGCCGAATCAACTGATTATTTCCAAAACCGTGGCAGTGTTGTATCGCCATTAGGGACGGAGGAGCGTGGCCTAGAGTATCCAAACATTTACTAACGGCAACGGAACGAAGTTCCCCGAAATGGATATTGGGAGGCAACTCTGGATACTTATCCAACACGTCATAAGCGACATTTTCCATAAACCATTGAAAATTTTTACAATTGAGACGTTTCTTCAACGCTAGRTGCTCACTAATATCKCCCATATCGAGAAACCGGGCCATYGGCTCCCGCGTGTAAAAATACTCCTTATACTTGTCATCAAACCAAGTTTCTATAACTCGCTTGTAATTTATGGTAATAAGAGGTCCTTTCTTTTTCTGAGCCAACTTTCCGAAATTATAAGGCATGAAACTCCTATAGACATGCCCGACTCGGGAACACGGCACCCATTCGATACTCCCTCCACATTGCCAAATCTTGAAACTCAATTCGAAATTCTCCCCACCCCAGACTAACAAGCCCGGGTCGTAAGCCCCCAATTCAAGGAAATATTCTCTGTTGATGGCAAACAGTCCCCCAGCATGTGTAGGACTCTTGTACGGCTCGCTGTTATGTTTCCGTGTGCTGAGCTCCCTTTGAGGCACTTCATTCTCTTTGTAGAGCATCCCCCATTCGAAAATACCTCTAAAATGCCGATCTTCGCCATACACCGGCCGATATTCGAATGTTTTATGGTCAATTCCGTCAATTACAGGGACTGTCATAACAGTCCGATCGCGGTAAATGGGGGCTAGAAGTGGCGGAAGCCAGTTTGTGTTAACTTCACAATGTGCGTCTAAAAATACAATGACTTCTCCTGTTGCTTCCTTGGCTCCACGCGAACGTGTACGGATGAGGCCCTCACGTTGAGTGTTGCGGATTAAGCGGACTTTGCCATTGAAACGTTCAATGTAGGTCTCGAGGCGACTTTTGAGGTTTTCTTTGTCACTGAAATCGTCCACAAGGAGGACTTCTTTGAGGATGTTGGGAGGTGAGCGGTTTATGACGGAGTGGACTGTTCTGAGGAGGACAGACCAGCCCTCATTGTGAAAAACTATAATTACGCTGGTTGAGGGGAGAATCTCTGGGTAGTCCCAATGTTTACATTCGGACAATCGAGTGTCTAAAATAGTCCGGTCGAGGGAAATTTCGTCAGAACAAGCGACGTTCATCCCATATTCAGATTCAGATTGATCGGCATCGTTTTGTTGATCTTGGCGCAAGTGATGGGGTTTTCCGCCTTCGCCGGGGCCTTCGTGTTCTTCGGCGTCCTTGGGTTCGAAATTACCCAAACCTGAGACTAATTTGGGGCGCTCTTTGTGTGACAATCGGGCAGCGACGGGCGACTCCAAATCGTAGCCATCTGTCTTATTATACGAGGCTAGCAAGTAAAGGATGACAATGAGGATTAATATGCCAAAAGCTAGTCTAATCGTCCGTGATTTCCTACTTAAATATAGTCGCATAAAAACCATTTTATGAATGATTGTTGGTGATAATCTGAAAATACGGTTTGAGGTCTTAGTTGGGCTTTATGACTACTCGATTTAACTCACCTGGATCGCGCAAGTTTCGGCGTTAACTTTTCATTGGAATGGCAAAGAAGTATTCGTTGGTTTTACTGTAAATTGAAATTTTAATCAGTCGTGGGAAATGTCAACACGTAAACAGCAGACCGGCGATTTTTGACATTGACGTTTTATTATCGGTATTACAGGTCGCAATAGTACTATCCTAGTACACATCCTCAGTCCCAGAGGGCGCTTCAAAGATTTAATACTACTAACAAGGCCCCTTCAGAACACTTTGTTTCTTTAAGTATTTTGTCTTGTTTTTAAATGTCTATTTAAAATGCAAATACTTGAATGATTTAGTCCTAATTTTACAAGGTCGGTCAAACAAATTCGGGCAAGGTCCTTACCAGCGAAGCGAATTCGCAGTCCTGTAATAAGGTTCTGTTTTTTTTGTTTTTATCATATATATAATACTATTATATATATGGTTTTTATGGCCACTCTAAAGAAACAGAACGAAGTGGAGATAGATACAGTTGGCCGTTATTTTTCAGTACTAGCGACATCTAGCGGTTTTTGAAAGAGTTTTCCGTGACATTTCGTTTGAGCCAGCTGGCAACACTGTGTTTATTGCCATAGTAGGTCTTCAAACAATGGCAGATGGTAAGAGAATATAAACCAGCAAAAGTAAATTTCAACCGAATTGTTATAGCACACCCAATTACGGTCCACGTCAATTGCCCGGGCGACGAATCCCGTGGGGTATGTGTAGAAGAAGTCATCCCCATTAGAGGTCGAGGAAAACGAAAGTGTTCATGGCGAGTACGCTATACGCGAGACATGAATCAAAGTTTTRAATTGAATGGTGAACAGCTGGCTATAAATACAAGGTGATTCACGAAGAATAATGAGCCTGACCAAATTCTCGATGCAACCACCATAACTCTTATTTGTTATTTTGCGACAACTGTAATGTTGGTTGCATCGAAAATTTGGTCAGGCTCATTATTGSTCGTGAATCACCTGTATAATGAATCGCCAACCGAATAATACAGTGATAGTGGAGAAAAATAGAAGTATCTTCCCCCCATTTATAGAATTACTATACTCCATCCGATGCTATTGCAATGTATCCCAAAGAGCGAGTAGGTCAATTAAAAGATATGATTCTGTTGTTAATTTAAAGGTGGAGGAGAATTTCGTTAATTTAAAGTTGGAGGAGGATCTCCAAGAATAAGGTTTGATTTCATTCTCAATTTGCCAACTGATGATAAGAATATTATTACATACAGGGTGCATACAGGGTGCGCCAGAACTCGCGCCCCAGAGAAAATTTTCAAGTGTGGTAAGATATCAGAAACATGAAAAAAATGTTTAAAAATTCTATCTGTCAAAAAAATTTGACATTAATTTTTTGACATTTGAAATTTTTTTAGATCTATTTAATGATACTGATGATCTTGTATATGTTTTTTTACAATTATTTAGTAAAGGGACAAAAATTTTGCCAATAAAAGCCACAAATAACATTGAAAAGAGTTACAATTTATATAGCTTCCTTGTCTCCTCTTTTAATAGCCTATAGCAAAAAAAACTTGAAAAATTATTTTTCCAACAGAAATAAATAGTCAAAGTGCAAACTTTAAACCCTCATAACTTCAAAATTTTTATATATAAATTTTTTTAACATTTTTTCCATGTTCCTGGTATTTTACCTTATATGGCATTTTTCTCTGGGGCGCGAGTTCTGACGCACCCTGTATATGAATTTCAATGTTATATCAACTATATTCTAGCCGTCAGTTAGTAAACAGGGTTTWAAATTTGATTATGAAATGGGCAGAATTATTATTATTATTTTTTTAATGAATAGTGTGACGTTACCTAGGACTAGGTACCTAATACAAGTGTTTTAAGATGAATTTTGTATTTCAGCAAACTTTTGYGTGTAAAGAGCTCCTTTTGAATTAATAAAGACAAATATTTTTTGAAATATGTATTAGATATTCATTTCTATTACAGCTTATAGTCCGGTCAAATTAGTAATAAAAATAGTGGTCAAATAACGAAAATTCCGACAGAGCTAAATTTTGGTGGAGACCTTGGGTACACCATTAGAAATAAAGTGTCAAAAGTCCCCATCGATCCCATATGTGCTAAAAAAGTTATTCGGAGTCAAAGGTCAAAATTTGACGTTTTTTAGATTTTTTTCAAGAACGGTAAGTTTTATCAAAAAAGTAGCCCAGACAAAAATTATATTATAGATCTTAAAATTATCTACAAAAATGGTCCTTATACTTTTTTTTCTAAGAATCACCATTCCTGAGATATMGCGATTCTAAAAGTTGAAGGAGCAACGTTCTACATCATATGCACATACAGAGTGCGCTAGAACTTGCGCCCCAAAGACAAATGCCATGTAGGGTAAGGTACCAGGAACATAAAAAAAAATAAAAATTCTATCTATAAAAATTTCAAAGTTATGGGAGTTTAAATTTTGCACTTTGACTCTATTTATTGGAAAAATATGTTGGAAAAATAATTTTCCAAGTTTTTTTGCTACAGGCTATTAGAAGCAGAAACAAGGAAGCTGTATCCTACACTGTAACTGTTCAATGTTATTTGTGGCTTTTATTGASAAAATTTTTGTACCTTTACTAGATAATTATAAAAAAAAACATATACATGGTCATCAGTATTATTAAATAGACATAAAAAATGTCAAATGTAAATTTTTTTTGACAGATCCAATTACTCCCTTTCAAGGAAGCGCGCGATTTTTTAAACACCTGTATGTATTACCAAATAAATTCTTTTTAATTCTAATGGAATCGAGATATTTATAAGTTTAATGAAGTAGAACAAAAATTTGAAGTAAGATAAGATACCAGGAACATAAAAAAAAATGTTTAAAAAATTCTATCTGTCAAAAAAGTTTGACATTTGACATTTTTTTATGTCTATTTAATAATACTGATGATTTTGTATATGTTTTTTTACAATTATTTAGTAAAGGTACAAAACTTTTGCCAATAAAAGCCACAAATAACATTAAACAGAGTTACAGTTTAGGATACAGCTTCCTTGTTTCCGTTTCTAATAGCCAACTTGGAAAATTATTTTTCCTACAGAAATAAATAGAGTCAAAGTGCAAAATTTAAACTCTCATAACTTCGAAATTTTTATAGATAGAATTTTTTTTGAATTTTTTCTATGTTCGTGGTACCTTACCCTACATATGGCATTTGTCTTTGAAGCGGGAGTTTTAGCGCACTCTGTATGTGCTTTTGATGTAGAACGTTGCTCCTTCAACTTTTAGAATCGCGATATCTCAGGAATGGTGATTCTTAGAAGAAAAATGTAGAGACCATTTTGTAGATAATTTTAAGATCTATAATTTTTGTCTGGGCTACTTTTTTGATAAAACTTACCGTTCTTGAAAAAAATCTAAAAAACGTCAAATTTTGACTTTGACACTTTATTCCTAATGGTGTACCCAAGATCTCCACCAAAATTTTGCTCTGTCGGAATTTTAGTTATTTGAAATGTCTATTTTGACCGGACTATTAAGTAGATTTTATAATTCATATTAGTATATTAAAGAACAAGTTTTATAAGGGTTGATTTGGCCCACGAATCCCAAGTTAGAAAGCGAGCCGTAGGCGAGTTTTCTATGGGATGAGTGTACCAATACCATTATAAAACGAGTATTTTATGCTATTTTTTCTAAATTCTAAATATATATATTTGTCGTCTAGAGAATTTTGTGTTAGTTGGTATCGTTTGGTAACACTCGGCGCCCACCTGGTTTTTTGAATCATTTCTGCCGTTTGTCATTAAAAATAAAATTTACAAATTATTAGTTATTAGTATTACAACATAATAATAAATAAAATATGAGCCAAACAGAATTTAGTTTGCACTCCGCCCGAAATTCGCGAAATTGCCGAAGCAACAATGCAAAATTTGTTACCGGACAAGTCAGAAGCGGCATACAAAAACTAAATAACCCTAAATTCATTAAAGTACAGTGTACTTTTATAGACTCCTACTGAGAGACGTTAATAAACGTATTATAAACGCAAATTAGTAAAACCTAGTTTAAAAACAGGGGTGTGAATTCGCTTCGCTGATAAGGACCTTGTCCTAATTTGTTGGCCGAAATCGTATTCATTTTTGTGCTCAATTACCCCAATAGAAAAGCAGGGCACAAAAGCGAATTTTAACTTTTAACAAAGGCACCTTGAAAAACGGGGTAGATCTGATAAAAAAGAAAAGTGTTCTGGAGTGACCTACTAGTATAAATTTCAAAACAGGGTAAAATCTTTGAAAAATGTAAATTTGAAAAAGGCCGTTAAAAACAGGGTTGTACACACTTCAGAACAGTGTAAAATCTTTGAAAAACGTTAATTTTAAAAAGGCCTTTAAAAACAGGGCAAAATCATTTAAAAAACAAAGTGTTCTGAAGGGCCAAAATTAGTCCAAAATTCAAAACAGGGTAAAATCTTTGAAAAATGTTAATTTTAAAATATACCTTAAAAACAAGACAAAAAATACTTAAAAAGAAACAAAGTGTTCTGAAGGGGCCTTATTAGTAGTAGTAGTAGTAGTTTTAATTTTTTTATTTTAATCAAAGAAATGTTAGAAACTGAAACAATGCTTGCAAGCAATTACCATACATTGTTTTATTATTAATTGTAACTTACCATAAATCTTGTCGGGTTGTTATTGAATTTTTATGTACCTAAGGGAAAGTAGGAATAATGAATGGTTTTTGTCACGATTTATTGTTCTTTACGGCTTAATATCAGGGGTTTAATCAAAATAATCGTTGGTTTATTTGATAATTTTTCACGCAAACAATATACATTCTCTCTATTAATGGATGTTTTCATGATATACGCAATAAAAATTTAATGACTTCCATTGAAAATGTGAGCGTGAAGTTCAGCACAAAACCCTCAATAATTGCTTTTAAACCAAATTGCTGAATTGCGACTGAAAATTCTCATCCGAGGTTGCAGGAATTAAATTTAATGAAAATAAAAAAGACAACAAACGCCTTTTATTTCCGATTAATAGTTTGTGCAAAGCTATCAATAAGAAAAATTACTTTAATTAATTGCAATTTATTTTTTTGATAATCAACGTTGAAATACCGTTATTTATTTTTCTTAGATTAAAAGAATGTTTCGCAATAGTTTGATTTCAAATAACAGTTCTTAATTGCAGAAAATTGAGAGACAATATTTCCGCTGCAGTAGCTCCAAGCGTTGAGTTTTTACATTGCAATAACTGTCTCTATTAGTGGTCGAATTCCGTATCAAAAAGTAAATATCCC